GGCCACGATGGCCACACATCTCTCCCTCCCTGCTCCTGGCCACGATGGCCACACATCTCTCCCTCCCTGCTCCTGGCCACGATGGCCACGTATCCCTGTTGCCACATACTTTCCCACTTTCCTGAGGTTCTGAGAAGGAAGGGACCACAGCAGGCAGGTGGCACAGTTGCCAGATGAGTGAGTGACTGCCCTGGTCTCTAATCAATGTTGCAGGAGCTTCTTAAAAGGCAGGCACTCTGAAATTAGGTCAATTGGGGCTTTAAAAATGTTAAAAGGACAGATCCACACAAGTGACTTCCAGCCCACGGTGAATGCCTAAACAGATGCAGCTTCTGTTTCATGGTGGATGTCCTAAAGCCACATGAGCCCAGGCATCTGCTCCTGGCCGACCTGGACAGTGGCCTTGAGCGCAGGGCTTGATGGATTGGCACTTGGCTCCTCTGGACTATCAGGAGCCTCTTGCACAGGGACTGGGCGTCTTACAGCCCTTTACTTGAATAGGACTTCTCTTACAGTGGGGACTGCCCATTAAAACATCCAACTCCCTCCAAAGAAAAAACACGCACCAGCCATTTCTATGAGGCCATCAGAGAACTGGAGGCCTCCAGGGAAGTGGAGAGCAGCACCTGGACACAGAGACACTGCCCAGTGCCCGCCACCCAGCTGTCACACTCCGCCTGGCAAGGATGCAAGAAAAAGCCGCAGCCCTGACCTTCAGGATCTCTCTGACGTTCACGCAGAATTTCTTTCTGAAAGTGAGACTGCATCATGGGTGGAGCCTACGTGGAGGACCGAGAGCCACGGCTGACCTTTCCTGTGAGGAGGAGACCTCACCCCCAAGTACCAGTGGACATGTGCTTTCCGAGGTCACACCAGACACTGCACACCCTCCACTCAGAGGAGCAAGGTCTGCAGCCCCTGGGCACCTACCACTCAATTCCTGCCACTCTGGAAGCCAACAGTGGTCTCTGTTCCCACCTCCCCACCCCCAGGGAGGCCTGATGGACGTTCCATGAAAGTGCTGGACACGGCCACCTGGCTGGCCCCCAGCCACACTTTCCTCAAGTGAAAACCAGGCTTATGCTACAGACAGAAGGTCCAAGGAAACTGTCAAAAGAGAAACCGTGAAAAAGTTTAGTGTATTTTGCTCGATAACTTAAAAAACAGATGTGAAATAATACCAGCATGAAACACTGCATAGCAAATAATACACGTGTTTATATAAAATCCAGTAAGAAAAACATAATTTTATCATTTGGGATAATTCATAAAACACATTTTGCTAAAAGCGAATCAAAACAAAGTTACAGAAGGAGATGACCCAGGCCTCGTGTGTGCCATGGGAAAGGCTGCGTCTGAGCCAGCACCACCACCAGAGTCAGGCACACACTGGCCTCGGTGGGTGTCAGTAACTCAACTGGACAGAGGCGTTTCACAGGGATGGGAGCTCTGCTCCCTCAGCCAAGTTCACAGGTCATCTGGGAGGTCCACTGAAGCCGTGGGAGGACAGGCCACAGAGCTAGTGCAGGCACGTGGGCAGAGGCAGCACCCCCCCTCACTGGTAGACGACCTTCACACAGAATGTCTCCTCGTTCTTGTCCTCATGGTCATTGATGTAAATGAGAATCTCCTCCTCCCCCACGCTCTGGCCAGGGGCAAACCGCAGGCCGATCGTGTAGGTCTCTCCTCCTCCGACCTGAAAATAAGTGTCAAAATCCCAACACCCACCCGGGCCTCTCTGCACCCTTGTGCGGCCACCTCTCCACACAGCCAGGCACATGTCCAGCAGGACAGTGGGTCACATGAGCTGACCAAGGACTGCAAGCCCTGGGGATGCACTTGTGGCCTGCCAAGGCCCCAGTGCCCAGAAGCAGGGTGCCATGTGTCTGATCCCCGAGGCATGCTCACTGTCTTATCTAACTTTTCCAGTGTCACGGTGAGAAGCCCTGGGCCACTGCTCTTCCCCACTCTCAGGAAAAGCATCACTAAATCTCTGGCAAATGAGGAAACATCAGGTCACCCAAGCATAGGAAGGCACTTGTCACCGTCCCAGGATTTTCTGAAGACTGTTCCTGACCCAAGGGATTCTCTCCTAAGGCAGCGCTGACCACCCTGCCCACAGTACCCGTCCACCAAGGCGCTGTTGCGCCAGCACCTGGGCCGCGGCCATACCTGGAAGGACTCCTCCCGGAACCGCAGCAGGTCGGGGCGGTCGCTATGCAGGTGGTACGTCCTCCGGGAGGGGTAGGGGTTGGTGTAGGTGATGAGCTTGTTGGTGCCTTTCTTTTCACCCACAAACAACGTGATCTCAAAGGCCTGTGGCGGGAAGGGACAGGGAGATGCTGTGGCCAGTCTTGCAGGAACAGCCACTGGCCTACTCTGCACTGTGGGTAGCCCGGGGCCCAGGGGACCTCCAAGGGGCTGGGAATAGAGAGTGCAATGTAAGCACTGCCCACCCCCACCCTACACAGAACCCTAGAGTAAGTGGCCTGAGGCACACAGCTCAGGCCACCCAACGCGGTACCTTGGTGACCCCCATCCCCTCGGCCTGCACTTGCCACACGTACAGACCTTGGAAATGAGCGGCTGGCGGCAGGAGAGGCACACGAGCCACGAGCACACCAGCTGGTGGCAGTCCACATCGACCAGGTTGAGGTGGACGAAGCGGCTGCCCGCCCTGAGGGGCCTCACGCTGACGTGCAGGTCCTGCAGCCCACGAGGTGCCAGCACAAAGACCCCTTTGGGGTCCGTCTTCAAGAACAAGAGTGGCCGGTCAGGGCAGAGCCATTCATAGGTGGCAAACAAGGAGCTCCCCGAGCACCTGCAGCCAGTTGATGAGAACCCAAGGCCACAGGCTCGCTCAGGGCCAGCCCAAATCTGGAGCCCCAAAGTCAGGGCTGCCTCATCCCCCTGCACAGCCACTGCTCCCCCAGGGCCACCTCAGCAGAGGGAGAAGGGAAACCAGCTCCAGTTTAAGACATGGGCCAGCTGGCCCTGACCAGAGCTGCCCTCACCTTCCAGGTGCGCACAGTGGCTTCACTAATTCCACAGTTCCCGTTATCATTTACCCTGCAGTAATTCTAAAAATCGGCCTTTGGGCTTATTTATATGTCACTCGCTCCCAATGACAAGTCTAATAAAAGGCGATTTTAATAAAGCCTTCAGTGAAAAGGCATCTGTAAGTCACTGGAGGGGCAGTGAAAGTTGCCACTGGGGGCAACCTCTGAGCCATGGGCCAGGGCCTGCTGTCCCATCTCCAGCTGGGGTAAAGGGAAGGCCCAGAGCAGCCCCAGAAAGGCCGTACCTTCAGCTCCTGGGGGTGTGAGGTGAAAGCTCTCACTTTCCTCACCGTCTGCATCCCCCGAAGGACAAGAGACAGACGGGTCAGCTGGCCGGTGACACAGGAGATGTCCACGCGTTGCAGTGAGTGTAGATAGACCTGCCATGTCTGCACAGGCGCCACCAGCCAGCGGTCCCTATGGCAGGACAGGAGCCATCTGCACGCACCCTTGACAGCAGCGCCAACCCGAGAGAGCAGGACAAGGGCTGCTGGAGGCCTCACGGGACCAGCCTTGGAGGGAGAGGTCCCAGGGCACAGCACCAGGCCCAGCTACCCTCGTCCTGGCCTCCCACCTTCCCACCTAAACCAGAAGCCCCTCAGGCTGGGCTGTGGCTCACATGTGACCTGCACCTGGGACACCGCCTCGCCCAAGGGTGCTCAGGAACTAAGTTCTGGGTGAACGGAAACTTGAGCTTTGGCCAAATGTGTGTCCTGGACGAGCCCCATCCCCAAACACGTGGTCAGGTCACACCCTACCCTGTTGTGAGGATTCTCAGAGGCCCGGGAGATACAGCTTCAGAGGACACAGTAAAGGAACATGCTTGTTCTAATGGGTGAGGGGTGGGGGCAATCTCATCCCAGTGCTCAGACATAAAGGACAGTGGCCAGCCACGTCCCAGTTCCTCAGGAGGGACACAGCCTGACCCCCTCGGTTCAGCTTGAAGATCCAGCAAGAAAACAATGCCAGGAGGCTGTGGGCCATGTCCAGCACTGCTATTTCCTCCCCTGGTAGGCACAGGATGGACGGCTGCCCGGGGGGCTGCATGCCTGAGAAGCCCGGGGAATCCCGCCTCAGACAAAGGCCCGAGGAGCAACTACTTGTGAGTATAGGAAGGACCTCAAACCCCCAGCTCCCACACTAGCACCCCTCAGCCCCTGGGGCCTGGGGCTTGCACACTTACGAATAGATGAAAACAAAGAAGTCTTTGACCTCCGGGCTGGGACCACTAGCCACCTTCAGAAACACATCTCGCGGTTCCTCGGGGCCCTGCCAAACAGACGTGGGCACATCAGGGCACACGGCGCCCTCCTCCTTGGCTCTGCCTGACCTCAGCCTGGCCCCCAAATCCAAGCCTGACCACAGCAGGTGGGAGCCAACCCCTACCCCAACGAATTTATTAATTTTCTCTGCTAGTCGGAATTCACTGTTCTGTTCACTGCAGAGGGGGAAATCATTAGCTTCTTGATTTTATATGGATCTCGATAATTACATTCTACAGGAGATTTTATCCAGTTTTCTAACTAGTCATAATACAATTATTGCCTTATCCTTTACACAATGGTAATTAATAAGTGCCTTAATTACCACTCACTTTATTCACTTTGCTTCATGCCTTTTTTAAATTTAAATTCAGATGATCAAGGAACTGATCTTCCAGTAGAAAAAATAAAAACACATTCATAAAGTTCTCACTAGTCTGTCACAATAGACCATTAGCACCTTGGAAAGAAACCACTTAATCAAAAACCCCAAATGAAGGGTCTCCCAAGAGAGCAGCTGGGGCAGGAGGATGCCAGGCTGGGGGGAGGGGACTTGCCAGAGGATCTGCCTGAGCTGGGACCACAACACAACCTACCACGTTCTGGGTCTCACAAATGACGTTTGGGTCACTACATCGCACGTGCACTGGGGGCTGCTCACCAGGCATTCCTGCCCGCGCACCTGGAACAGCGAAAATGTCAGGAAAAAGGCTTCACCACAGCCTGGGCCTGCGGTGCACACAGCCCTGCGTGTCACGTCATCTAGGACAGGCTGGGCCTGTCACAAGTGCTTAGCAAACACCTGCGGGGCAAACGGCCGCCGCCACTCTACTCAGGGTGGCACCAGTGTGCTGCGTACTCCTACAAGGACTCTGGCCCTCTACCCTGACACGGCACGTCTCCTGGTCCCGTCTTCAGGGAACCACCAGAGGGAACCTCCAGGAAGTGCTGTGGAGACCAACGCCCTCACTCTGCTCTAAAGGGCACCCGCTGGCAAGCTCAGTGGCCACTGAGGAGGGGAGTGTGCCCCAGGCACACCTCATAGGGACACATCTGGACCGCAGGAGCCGTGCTTTCTAGAACAGTCGAAGCAACCACCCACTGTGCACCTGTCACCTTGGAGGAAGCAGGAAGGCTGCCACTCCAAGTTGCAAAGCCCAGGGCAGAGTTACATGATGCCATCTGCCAAGCCTGGGGAGACGCCGTTTCCAAATAGTGGACCTGCAAAATGCCAGCCCCAGGGTCAGTAGGGGACCTGCCTGGAAGCGTGTGCCAGGGAGGCAGGCGGATGGCCTTCTTCAGGAACGTGAGCTCTGGGTGATAGAAGCGAAAGGTCTGGTCCACCACGTGGGGCTGGGGCTCCACGGTCAGGCAGAGCACAGCGATGGGCTTGCCGCCGCTCACTCGGAACAGGACCTGCGACAGAGCAGACCCTGCTGGGCGTCACAGCCAGCAGGAGGAGGGTGGGCAGCTCCATGTCCCTCCTAGACAGCAGGGGGATTTCCACTATCACAAGGACCTACCCACCCCTCAAACGAGAAGGGAAGCTCAGGCACCGTCAGAGAGGCAGGAGCAGAGTCTGCAGCAGCAGGTGCCCCTCGAGGGGGCTCCTGAGCAGGGCCGAGGCCAGCGCCCAGTGCCAGGTCCACACACAGGCAGGCTCCTGCTGCTTCTCTCAGTAAGACCCCCTCCCTGCATGCTGGAGACAGTCCTCCACCCCAACATCAAAACCTCATGCTGGTGACAGTCCTACATCCCAACATCATAACCTGCTTCGACCATAGTCCCACTCTCACACCCTGGATGTGCACGTACAGAAATCATTCCAGAAGGCTCTCCTGAGATTAACTCCACCAGGTCCTCAGGGTGGTACTGGGGTGGCCATGTTCACGGTCAAGCACATGAGCATGACCTCTTTGGGCCCACATGGTGAAAAGAGGCCATGCCTCCACCAAAAGACAACAATTTCCCTATTTTTAAAAAAGCTATTTATTAAAAAAAGTATTTGTCTAAAAATGCACTAATTTGGACATCTAATACAATGGGCAATCCTTATTTCATTAGACACACACACGCGTGCATGCATGTGCACACGTATGTGCCCAGAGACACACGTGCACAGGTGCACACGCGAGGGCAGAGTGGGGTGAGGCTGAGAGCAAACTGAGGTCACACTCAGCTCACCCAGCGTGGGCACACTTGGCTTGCATCGGCAGACCGTGGGAAATCCCCACAGTTCCCGTGACCGGTCTGTCCCCTTCTGCACCCTCACCTTGGCACACTTCGTGGGCAGTGCACTGGACTTCCATGGTGGTGCGGCATCTGTGCCCTTCTCAGAGCTCAGCTCGGCAGAGGCCTGTGAGGACCAGTCAGCACGCTCAGGTCAGGAGGTGGCGTTCTCGGCTGACCAGCACCCGTGCCTACGGGAGCCCCTGCTCACGGCCTTATTCACTCTCATGCCAACCCTCTGAGCAGTGACTGTCACCAGCCAGCTCATCAACCAAAGAGGAAGTTGAAGCTGTCATCAGCTAGGGAGTGGCAGGTCCCAGATTGGAACCGAGCTCTGCCTGAGGTCCCCCAACTGGTCTGTCCCCAAAGCCAGTGTGGAAACCCATGTGACTCCAGGAATCCCTCAGGCCCACCTCAGGTGAGGAACATCAGAGAGCTGGCTCAGAAGGTCAGTCAGGAGCTGAAACACCTGCGCCCCTGCCCAGTCTCAGACACAGGACAGCTCACACCTCCCCGACACCCACCCCCTGGGCTGCTATGAGAAGGGGCAGCAGCAGCAGCCTCAGGGTAGGAAACACCAAAAGATTCTGAGCCATTAGCTCCACTGAGGAGTAAGGAAGGCTTTGATGGAGTTAGTAAAGAGGACAAGGAGAGGACAGTCGGGACTGTGGACAGCCTCCAGGCAGGAGGCAGCTGTGGGGCCGAGCACAGTGTGGGGGGCCACGGACCTGATGATCAACAAGCAGAGAGGCCCGAAGGATGACCCAGCCCCTGGGGCGGGGGGGGGGGCGGGAGACACTGCCAAAAGCCCAAAAGGATCCGTAGTCCCCATGGTCATTTAGCTGAATGGCACCTGGCCATGTGTTCAGCCGTACCTGTGCTGAGGCCGGTAGCCCCATGGAGAAGCTCTGGAACTTGAAGGGGATGTGGGCGGTCTCCCGGGGGCGCAGGAAGAGCTGGGGAGCCATGCCGCTGCGCACGTGGAACATGTCCTCCTCCACCGGCGTGTGCAGGCCAGCAGCATCCTTCAGGTGCCTCCACTCTCGACTGTCCACGACGACGCTGGGGAGGGGGGAAGTCTTCCAGGAAGGGCCCCGGGAGGAGGCGGCCCCCAGAGGAGCAGGAGGTGCAGTGGCAGAGCTCTGGGGCAGACTGGCCAGCTCAGAGGCAGCCAGCTGTGCCGGGCTTAGATCTGCACTGGGACTGTGACAGGACAGCTACTGGGACCCACCTGAGCTCAGGGTTGTCAATCTCTACCGTCACTGTGTGCTGCGTGTTGTGGGGGTTCCTGAGGGCAAATTCAAAGAACTCGGCGGTACCCAGCGAGGCGTAGAGCGTGTGCTGCGTGGTGATGGCCAGGCTCAGAGCACTGGTGATGCTGTCGGCCTTGGCACGCTCCCGATAGGCAGCGATGACCTGCAGGTCCCGCAGGTGCTGGGCACGGACACTATGCTGAGCCTGCAAGATGGGCCACAGGGTGGACACGGTCCTGAGCACACCATCCTCATCAGGGACTCGATGTGCTGGCCCCTGCTACGGACCCCCACCGAGTACCAAATTTCCTCTGGAAAAATCACCAGAACTGCCCTGATCCTTGACCATGTGATCAGGGTGGGTTTGGTTGGTGGTAGACAGAGATCCACTGCCTGTGCCCTCCCTGTGGAGAGGGATGCAGCATCCAGCTACCCTCTGCCTGCAGGTGGCCGCGGACTGGGGGTTTGGTCTGCCTGACCCAAGTGCTCCCAAGAGGCTCTTCACAGCTGCAGGGTTGGTACCAGGCACAGTGGGAAACAGGCATCAGTGGCTTCAAACAAAAGAGACCAGCCCCCAAACTAAGCCTGCAGACAGGGCTCACCTGGCCAGGGCCCCAGCATGGTACCAGGAGCCTGTCTGCCACCAGAGCCCATGGGAGGGGACATGTTCCTGGCCTGCTGAGTCTCAGTTCCCTGACTGACCTCATGCTGGGGTCAGGGCGTGGACATCCCAGCATGGAGTGTGAACCACCCACACGCTGCCTCGGTGTGGCTTGGCGACCACCTCTGGTGCCCAGCGACCCAGTGGGCTCAGCCAGCACAGATGTGCCAAGCATGGAGACTGGCTTGTTTTTCCCATGGGCCTTACATTAAATGGGAGGCCCATCGCGCCTGCCTTGCACGATTTGAGGCCTCGTCCAGGCAGAGTCAGCTGGGCTACAGCTGCTCCGAGAACATGCCCTGACCTGGTACGGGGAAGCTGCAGTCTCAGGAGGCTGAGATGTCAGCAGGATGGGCGGGTGGCCTGCATGCTTTCAGACTGTAACTCTATTTTTTTTTTTTTTTGAGATGAGAGTCTTACTTTGTTGCCCTCAGTAGAGTGCTGTGGCATCATAGCTCACAGCAACCTCAAACTCTTGGGCTCAAGCAATTCTCTTGCCTCAGCCTCCTGAGGAGCTGGGACTACAAGTGCCCGCCACAGTGCTCGGCTATTTTTAGAGACAAGGTCTCACTCTGGCTCAGGCTGGTCTAGAACCCATGTGTCAGGCAATCCACCCACCTCAGCCTCCCAAGTGCTGGAATTACAGACATGAGCCACAACACTCAGCCCTAGACTGTAACTCTGAAGGTAAGGACAAGAGTGTGGGCTCTGCTGTAAATGACTCCGAATGTCACCTTTCCACTGCCCACAACCTGGGCCTTTCCTTTGCAGGGCGTTGGTGCTGAGCCTCTCCCCGCCCCCTGGAATTTGGAAATGGCAGATAGCCATGCTGACATGGAGGCCTCCCTCCACCAGCCTGTGACCATTAGAGCTTTTCAACACAGCAGAACCTCCGACAGGCTGTGCTGGACAATGGGCCAGCCGTGGGTCAGAATGCAACAGGCGGCTTCTCAACCTTGGGGTTCAAGTGCATATTGCTCTGCTCATGGCCTAGCTGAGGGGACAGGATCTGTTCTGCCCACCAGCGAAGTGATCCCAGGATGACACAATAGTAGGTTTTAGGGCTGTGGACACTTGAAGATGGGAGAGGAGCTGGCCTATTAGACTGGTAGTTCTAGGTGGGACCCCATAATGGCCACACCTTGGTTCCCTGTGAATTCAATGATCAAAGTGGTGGGGAGAAATGGCGCGAACCTAGGGTCTACGAGGGGGCACCTTCTTGTCCACTCCTGCCTCCTTCCATCCCACAGAGGACACTGAGCCAGCACCCCGGAGAAGGCAGAGTGACGGCTGGTTAGAAAGTTCTAGGCAGGAGCCAGACAGGCACAGCCCCACCCTCCCTCTCCTCTTCTGTGGGATCTACCTGCCTGGGGGGCAGCACCAAGTGCTCACATGGCCCCTGCTCAGGCCCTGGAGGGCAGCACCAAGCATGGCTACAGGCTGCAGGTTCAGTAACGAAGGTCCTGTCCTCAGCAGCCTGCACTGCCCACGCCCAGCAAGCGTGTCTGCAGACCAAGCTCAGTATCAGGCCCAGCCTCTACTATTAGCTTTATCAGCAGTCATCAGTAAAAGATAGGTGACATTTTAGTCCCCACTGGCCACACTCTTCCATTACATGCAGGGAAGGGTGAGGGGGTTCACAAGGCCCCTGTTCCAGAATCCATCCCTGACGCTAGTTCAGGGATGAACCCACTGCCCAGGGAGAGTGGGGAGGCCCATGAGCCACATGTTGAAATCCCTGGAAAGTGAAGCTCTCTGTGGCGTGAGATGCAGACACGAGGCTCAGGACTGGAGCCCCACTTTGCTCCCTGGAGCTGATGGGAGGTCACCACAGAGGCCTGAGAGCGGAGCCAGGACACAGAGGGCTGGAGTGGAGAACCAGTCCCTGGTGGCCACATGCAGCCCTGTGCGGGCACCCCCAGGGGCAGTGCAGATACCAAGGCTCCACGTGTCAGGACATCTGCTCACTCGTCGAGTGAGCCCTGGAGACCCTGCAGGCCAGCGCACATCAGGCTGTCACTTGCAACCCGTTCAAAGAGATGAACCTGCCAACCCTTTGAAGGCCACAGAGAGGGTGTCTCCCCACAGGCCAGCAGTCACACATGGTACTGCAACTGCAGGAGTCACTGTGGGCCAGCCAGTGCTCTGGACCTTGGATGCAGATTTAGCCGAGTGGCCTTCTGTTCACACCGGGCTGCCTCATGTAAGGGAACCTCAGAACATCTTTCTCGAGGCCCCCACGACCCGTGTCTCCTATAAACCCCTGGGTTACAGCAATTCTCTCCTCCCATTTCCTAGTTGCAAATACTGAAGGGTCTATTTAGATTTTAACTATCTAAATTGCCAAAAAAGGGAACGTTTCTAGTCAGAAAGATTACACTGACAACCCCAGATACATAAACCTTTCAGAGCTTGCATCCCCAAACCTGGGGGACTCAGAATCACCTGCAGAACTTCCTTAAAGACCCAGGCTCTGAGGGCCCCTCCCAAGCCAAGGAGCTCCAGGGGTGAAAACCAAGAATCGTCTCTGATTAAAAGCTCTCTAGATAATTCTGACTTGAAAATCTCGCCTGGTGGCTGGAAAAGTCCAATTCTCTTAACATTCTGCAACCACTGGAGGCAGCTGAGCGAGCCCATCAGGGAGGGGGGTGTGGACGGCAGGCCTCACCAGTGTGCTCGCCTGGTGCCAGCCGCGTTCTCCGCTGGCCTCCTGCAGCCTCACTGACCGCATCCGCTCCAGCTTGCGCCTGCGGACGGCGTCCAGCTCGCGGCCAGCGCCCGGGGGCCCCTTGCTCCCCCGGCTGTGGGTCAGCAGCATGGCCGCCAGCTCACTGTCCACATCAGCCAGCTTCTGCGCTTGGACCACGTTTTTCCCACCTGAAAGGGTCAGAGAAAGCATCAGGGTGGCCGTGCAGCATGTCCCTCCACGGGCGGCCAGGCCTGGCCTCCCAGAACCTCCTTATCCAGGGAGGGCTCAAAGAGTGTGTCTGTTCCAACCTGTGAGGCTCTGAGATGTAGCTAAAGACGACCACTTTACGACCTGGTCTCTAAGGCATCCCTCCTTTCACCAGCCTCTAAAGGAAGAGGAATTCTGACTCTGGTGCTTAGAGACAAAGTTGCCATTGGGCAATTTCCTAGGGGAAAGAGTTCACACTGGAGGACTTTAAAGGGCCCACTGACACCCCAAGGACCGCCAGCCTCGCTCACAGGCAGCCCCTGCATGGGTACCATCCTGAGCCCTCAGACGCCTTGTCATAGTAGGTCCTCAAACTCACCCTGTGCAGGGGCATCACACCCTGGAACAGGACCAGGAGTCAGGGGCCCTCGGGGACTGCACCATGGGCCAGACAGAGGCCTGCAGCTTGTCAGGGGCAGGAGGAGCTGAGAGCAGGCCTGGCCCAGGCTCCTGTCTCAACCCTGTGCCCAGGCACCCTGCACTGCCTGGCTTTGGGGCAGCCTGTCCACTTTGGGGAAGGCTCTACTCAAACCCTGGACACACAGTGAAAGCCGTTCAGCAAAGAGAAGACAAAAAGAGCCCAACACTGCAGGCGTAAGAGTAGCCACCCCTGGACAGGCTACCAGTGGGCACTGTGCTCTGTGACGAGGCCCCATCACCACTGACACAGGTTCCTGGATAGTCGCTAAAGCTGGCACAGGCAGGGCAGGTCTGGGGCACTCGATGGAGGGCCAGGGTTTCTTCCTGGCTCTTGTGAAACTAATGCCAGCCTGAGCTCCCAATCTGCTGTCCACAGGCGCCGGTGGCCCCTAGGGAGGCACCCCATGCTGAGGTCCAGGGGTTGGTCTCCCCCTCTTGCCCACCTCTTCCTCATCTCAAGTGAACAAGTGCTATTTCCAGGTTCCTCACCAACATTCCATCTTAAAGCCACTTAATTGCTTTTCCTATGCCACAAGTTGGCCTTCAATGGCTCCCCCAAAGAACACTTCACATTGTCTCTGGGGCACAGGCATGCAGGAGACCCAGCCTGGAATCAGGTCTGAGCTGCCTGCGGCCACAGCCCCACATGGGCAGGCCAGGGGGTTGCAGTGAGCTGGGTGTTCAAACTCATCACCCCAATAAATGTTGCTCTTGGTTCCAACAATACCGGAAATGAAGTTTAGAGTGACCATGGGGGACCACACTTGGGGAGAGGAAGGAAGCACCAAGAACCTTGTTAAAATTTGGTGCAACTTCCTAACTCCAGAACTTCACCCTCTGGGTGAGACCTGGGCTTTCCAGTGACACCTCCTGCCGTGGTTCTGATCACAGGGACTGAGGGAACTGACCTCAGGAGTTCTTGATCATCTCATTAAACCCTTACTGGTTCCATCTCCAGGGCTGAAGGTTGAGCCTTGAGCTGCTGGGTCCCAAGGCCAAGGTTCCATGACCGACCAGCCCCTGTTCCCAGAGTGCGGGGGCCTCCCGCTCTGTAGCTGCCCTCCATGTGCCCTCCACGTGCCTTCCACCTGCCTCCAGCTGGGAACAAGGATGCACTGACTCCAAACAGGGAATCCAACTCAAAGCCAGTCCACATGCTCAATCACATCTGGCCAAGTCCCCTGACCTCTCTTGGCCTCAGTTTCTTCAATATTAAAATGAGAAATCCAGCCTGGAGTAGATTCTTGCCTTGCTTGTATCACGGATCCTGGACAACAGACCCCTCAAGCATCGCAGGCCTCTCCTAGAATGCACAAAGTACGGCCTAGAGTTCCAGGACATTTGTGGGATCCTGGAGGCCTTGCAAAATGGAACCCAAAAGCCCTCCCACCTCATCCCTGCCACCAGCTTTAACAGGCCACGGCTCTGGACCTCTCCTAGAGAACCTGTTCTGGGCCATCACAGTCAGGATCCACCAACACAGGAAAGCCCACAGCAGTTCTGAGTCCACACGGGACCATCTGCAAGACCTGGGGAAGCAGCTGAAAGACCACTGCCCACCTGGCAGGTCTCTTATATTAGGTCTATGAGGTCTTAAATTGTAAGGGGTGGAAACAACTTCAGAGTTCCCTGCTGTGAAAGATACTTTCACTAAACCCAGGTCTTTCTTCCCAAGCTCCAGAATTGGCTTGTTTCTCCTATTAGTACCATGAAAAATTTCAAGTTCATTGTTAAAAAAAAAAGTCCATGCTCGTCCTGACCTTTGCTGCTCTGCTCTTCCCTTGCAGATCAGCAGCTAACCAGGCACAGATGCCACTCGCAGGATCACCACTACTCTGTGGAACAGCACAGCTGGCCTGCAGAGCCCAGCCTAGAGGGCACTAGATCCACTAGGTGGTGGATTGGTGAGGCCTATGGGTCCCCGGGAGCGCGTGTCTCCTGGGGACAAAGGTGGGGTCTTCCAGCTTCCTGACAGACATGTCTCTCTCTAGATGGTTCTGGGCTAAGGATGAGAAGGGAGCTTGGCAGGTGTCTGAGCTGCTCTAAGTGGGTGCACTCCCCAGACCTGACGGAGCACCACAGCTGGCCCTCCACACACAGGCCCACCGACACACCCAGACATGCACACACCTTTCCACCTCGCTCCTCCTCCCCCAAGACCACCTCCCACTCACAACCCACCCGCACGTGGGGCCAAGAGTCTCGACTCACGTCTTGAGATTCCACTGGTGAGGAGGCTGCCTCCGGGGAAGCGGCTGGTCCCGTCATTTGAGATGACACGTGATCTGGATGGTGGCAAGGAGCCAGAATTTCTCACTTTCTGTTCACACAAGTGACCTAAATGAAAAACACCCCTGGCATGAGGTACTAACCAAGTCATCAAGTCAGAGTCTGATGAAACAGACAGGTCACCATGTAAGGAGCCCACCACACCCTCCAACGTGCCAACGTCCCCACACACCCGCCTCTCTCTGGTCTGAATTTTCCTGCAGGTAAGAGAGGAAAGGTGGGAGGTTATTTTTCCCTGAACTCTTTCATCTTGTGGTTTTTTATTCTCTTGCCCTCACAGTGGCCTCTGATTTCTCATGATGAAGCAAGCACACGGCCCTCAAGGTCACCTCCACACAGGCCTCACTTCCGGAGCTGCCAATCGCAAGGAGCGTGCGTTCACAACTCACCTGGCCTTCTGAAGGCTGCCCTGTTCACAGAAAGCCCTGTGTACACTCATGCGTGCAAACGTGGGACCGCACCTACAACTCAGGGCGGAAGATCCTCCACAAACCAGAACCTGCTTCCCTAAGAGAAGCTTCTGGAGAGCAGCACAAGGCCCCAGGCTTCACACGTCCACGGGGAGACACGTGGCCACGAGCAGAGCCTGCAAATGGGAGCGTCCAGGGTGCAGTGCTCACCCAGGGCAGGATCTCCTGCAAAGTCAGGACCCGAATCCCTGCCTCAACTCTCAGGGGGGAGGCAGAGCACGGCTAATGAAGTCTCCAATGTGCTACCCAAGTCACACACAGAAGGCCAGTGCTCCTCATTTCCCCAATGCCAATGAGACAGTGGTGCCCCTGCAGGCCTGGGGCACCCTGCAACCTTCCTGGGAGTGTTAGAAGTGGAAGCCCCTCCCCTGGGCGTTCCACCTCTCTGTGACCCCTGACTCCGACCTTCCCTCAGCCCTAGGGTCGGCAGGGGGCCTCTCCCACCTGGCTGGCCCCTCGTCCAGCCCCTGCAGAGCCACCTACTGCTCTGCGTTCCTTCCCCTCTCGCCTGCCAGGAGCTGCTGTTTTTAAGGGCAAGCTCCGTGCTGGGTGCAAGGCACACCAGGTGCCACAGGGGTGAGCCACAACCCCTGTCCAGCCCGGTTCTCCTGGCAACAAAGCTGGAGTTCTCACCACCTGCTGCCCACCAGGCACGTCTCTCTCTAGAATAGGTCTGAACAGGTCAGAAAGGAGCGCTCCTCCTTCGGAGATACTCAGCAGGCCCTGAGCTGCTCTAAGTGAGGGTACCCTGTGCACCGAGGAGATGGCAGCCTGGATCTCGGAAAGGAGCTGCAAACTGGATATAGAACTGTAGCTGGTGATGCCCAAGGCATCGATTCAAGAGATGACCATCCCACCCAAAGACGGTGGGGGGCAAGACCCCAATCTAGGGGTGGAGAAAGGGAGACTTAGAGACTGCAGACAGACAGAGACCAATCTCCAGAGGAGCTCACCTAGCAGGTGGGCTCAAAGCCCACGCCACAGCAGTGAAGACCTACACCCTCATAATTAAGTTCCTGTGGTCCTCTTAGGGATTGTCACAGATGCCAGCCCCTGCTGGACTGGCCTCTCCCACCTTGTCCAGGCCAGCTGCCCTCAGCCACCTGCTCAGGCTGCTGTCTCCATCACAGGCCTTTTCAAATCCGAAGCTCAGACACAACTGTGCCGAGGCGCCGGCATGCTCATTGTCTCCTCCAGGCCTCTGCACAAGCACAGATGTGGAATTCCGCTGCTCAGAGCAGTCCCCACAGCCAACTTCAAGTTCACAGAGTGCTCTAACATGGGGTCAGCCACCCACTTGACATGCTGGGAAGTCTGCCTGGAGGCCAGGTTCAGCCAGCAAAGAAAAAGTTGGTGTCCAAAAGGAATTCCCACAGATGTCCTGAGAAGGGCCACCTCCCTTCACCCCTAGTAGCAACCGGAAAGGCCAGTAATGCGCTTGTCCAGGTATCTCTTTGCAGGGAAATTTCATTCCAGCCAATGCTCTCCCACACCTCGGGGAAGCCTGGAATCTTCTGTAGCTTTCTCAACCACCTTCAGCTGATAGAGGTTCCCTGAGTCACAGATGAGATGGCCTTTGTCCCACGTGGGACTAAATGTGCGTTGGCCTTATGTAAGGTGATACTCGCCACACTGACAGCACAGGGCCCACAGAAGCTGCTGCCAGGTCAGGGTGGCCCAGACAGCACGAGAGGGCAGGCAGCCATCATCCTTTGAGCTCAGGCTCTCAGTAGGGGGGCTAAAGATGACAGCTGTAGTAAGTGGGACCTCCAGGATTCTGCATGTCACCTTCTGGACAAGGGACACTGCTGGGCTTCAGTCCACTTTCTCTTAGGACACACGAGAGTGGTGGAGCTGGTTTATGCCTTACTTCTTCATGCTCAGGTGAGAAGGGTCGGGCAGTACAGACATTGTGCACAGTCTGCCTGGGGCACATTTTCTTCCCCTTCAGAAAAGAGGTTACACTGGGACCAGCACATTTGCTGCAGGGGCAGAAATTCCCTCTAGACACGCAGGGCTCCTGAGGCACCTGGGGCATGGCATGCCACCCCTAAGTGACGCACATCCAGTCATCAGTCAAAGCCCGTCACCACCTGCTTCTCTTTGAAGTGTGTGGTTGGCTGACGTCTGTCCCGAGAACACAGATGACTGACTTGTGAGGCCGTCTGCCCTGACACTGCCTCTCCCAGGGAGGCCCCTCCAGGATGCTGCGGAACACAGGTGACAACCGGCTCTGGCTGAACCCCCGTCCTATTTCACAACCATGATCATTGCGATAAGAGAAAACAATGCGGCCTCACTATCACTTTCTAGCAGAAGCTCCTGCAAGACAGCACAGAGGAGGCTGATCTGGCAGGAGAAGCCACCAAGCATGGAGGGGTCCTCTCCCCATTACAAGAGCAAGGAGGCCTGGGTGGAGCTGGTGGCCACCGGTGGCCCTGTCTGTGGCACAGGTTCCACCACGCTCTGTCACCCTGCAGGCTTCTACAGCCATCACCCCAGCTGCTCACAGACAGATGCCTGCAGCTCCTCAGAGTAACCAGCTTTATGAAGAAATAAAAATCATAACATGTTTTTCCCTAAAAAATGCAAACCTTACAGCAGAGCCCCCGGCCTGCTGCACTGGTGGCAGAGGGCTGTGCATCCGCCTTTGTTCAGACCTCTCCTTCTCCCGCGGGCGCCCAGTCCCCGGCTGCCTCCACGACGCCCTCTCCTGCAAGCTTATCTCCCTCTTGCAGGCAAAGTATGAAAATGACAATTTGAGATAACATATAATGGAGCCAATCTTTCTTCTGAAGATAAGATTTTAAAACCTGGAGTCACTGCACAATTGTGGGCTGGTGAATTAAATATAAAAACAACCAACACAGTCTCCGAGGCAGAAGGCTTCCTGCAACTCCCTCCGTCGTGGGTCCCTCCGTCGTAGGGGCCTCTGAATAATGTCTGCTTCTCACATGTGGCTCATCTATTTCTCCAGAACCTAATTGAGTTCTGCTGTTTCCATATTGTCTGTTTTCCAGGCTGCCTCGGATTTTACATTTGTAAACAAGCAGCCAGAAACCTCCAACCAGACTTAATGAGCTGTGTGTCCGCTCCCTCCTCTGCCGCCGCACAGCACGGCCAGCCCCTGTGCTGCCACCACGGAGGGATGTGGCCCATGAGGCTCCAGGACTTAAAATCAGGCTGGGTTTTGAGGAATGGAAAATTCCCTCATAAAATGACAGAGCTTTTGAGCCCCATCCCCATAGACACAGCCCCAGAAGTCTCAAGCAGCTTAGTTTTAATGTATTTTCAATTCTGCCCAGAAAAATCCAGAGCCTTCCAATGTACCCTCCAGGAAGAGGCAGGGGGGTTACGACTAGCACTCGGGGTCCCACAGTGTCCCTGCCTACCAGGCCCTCAGCGGCCTCATCCTGTCAGAGCCCTCTGTGGAAGCCTCTGGAATGTCCCAGCATGACTCCCCTGGCCACCCGGTTCACACATCCTACCCATCACTGGTGCAGCATGTGGGCTGGGGACAGGGACTCAGCTCTGTCACTCTGATGAGCAGCCCTGGGGACGCCTCTGACACAAGGTCATGATGCTGGGCCAAAAGGAAACCCATTCTCCATCCTCCCCTGAGCGGCAGGAGAGCTCAGGAACACTCCTCTTTTCTCCCTTCCATGGAGAAACAGTTCTGTGGGCTGCTGCGCAGAGTGAAAACCCCTCCTGGAGCCTCATCACTCTTTTTGAGGAATGTCACCAAGATGCCCCGGGGACAGCCTCAAAAAACAAAACGGAACACAGGCGAGCCTGGTGACTCCTGACCTCGAATCTCATCAGAAAGGAGGACTGAACAGCTGGCCCCCAGACAGACTCGTGGCCGGGCCAGGCGTTTAGCAGCAGAGCTAATAGGACCTGCTGACCCCCAGAGCATGTGGCACCCACAACACGGCACCCATGATGCAGCCATTGCCCTGAGGGAGCCTCCCTGTAGTGGGGAGATGAGAGGTGACTAGAGAAACATGCAGAGACAGACACGGCCGCGGGACTCTTACCCACATTGGCCAAGGTCAGGTACAGCTGGCCCTTCACCACCGAGCGGACACCGATGGGCTTGACGCTGCCAAACCCGGTCACGTCTCCACTCACCGCCGCGTTGTCCCACTCATACTCGGTCATCACAACCTCGAGCTCCTGCGAGACCTGCACGGCTGGCCGCCCCTGGCGGAGGAGATGCTGTGGAGGAGAAAGACACACTCAGGGCTGGGCCCACTTCCAGGCGGCCCCACGGGTGGAAGCCGCTCCCCAGCCCACTGAGGAAGGCCACATCAGAGTGGACAGACGAGCCAGACCACTCCTACAGGCAGGAGTCCTCATCATCGGGGTCTTTTTGCGATTCTTAGAAGTACAACCCAAGTTACCCAATGAATAAACCACCAGGCCCGGGGGATAAGCAAAGGGGCCTGGCAGCCAGCCAGGCGGAGCCTCCACTGGGCAGCAGCACGACGGGGAAGGAGGACGACAGAACAACACAAGCCAGGCTCACGCTCCAGGGCGGGAACCCTCCAGGAGAGGGGCCTGTGGACAGAGAGCGCTAGGGAGGCAGGCAGGGCCCCAGGCACAGAGACCCCCAGAGCCAGGGACAAAGGCTTCCGGGTGGCCCATGGGTCCAGAGAGGTCCGGGGACATACAGGGCAAGCTGGATGCTAGACTGAAGCCAGGCCCTGAGGGTCTCTGTGCTGGGCCATGGCTGGGCAGGGCAGCAGGAGCAGAAAGCCACATCTGGGACAGGGCCCGTAGGACCTTCCTGCCCATCACGGTGAAGGGACAGGGCCCATAGGACCTTCCTGCCCATCACGGTGAAGGGACAGGGCCCGTAGGACCTTCCTGCCCATCACGGTGAAGGGACAGGGCCCGTAGGACCTTACTGCCCATCATGGTGAAGGGACAGGGCCCGTAGGACCTTCCTGCCCATCAGGGTGAATCCCTTAGTGCTCTGTCCAAACCCAAACACTATGGGGAACACCTGGGGTGATGCTGGAAGCACAGACACTTCCTCACTGCGTGGCCTTGGGGAAACAAAACACATGTGTCTCTGAGCTAGAGCCTCTCCACACAGCAAGGGCGCAGGGCCAACTGAGGTCCTGGCTTTGGGAGTCCCCACACTTCTCCTCCAGCAGGGAGGATGCCTGTGGCTCAGTGAGTAGGGCACCGGCCTCATATACCAAGGGTGGCAGGTTCAAACCCGGCCCCACCAAACTGCAACAAAAAATAGCCGGGCATTGCAGCAGGTGCCTGTAGTCCCAGCTACTTGGGAGGCTCAGGCAAGAGAATCACCTAAGCCAAGAGCTGGAGGTTGCTATGAGCTGTGACGCCACGGCACTCTACCGAGGGCGACAAAGTGAGACTCTGTCTCTAAAAAAAACCATTGGAAAAGCACAACTCCCAGGCTCTCGTGCCGTCATTCATACCACCCTGAAGGCCACCTCTGATTGAAAGGCCCTCCTGGCACCTGGCAGCTGCCCTCGGGAAATCACATCACCATGTTCAAAGGATCAGAAGGCAACATTACCAGGGTTTGATTACTGAGTTTGGATCCTAAAAGTTCACTGAGCAAACACCTGGCATTATAGAATTCAGACTCGGTGAAAAATCTTATCCTTTCAGCAAGCAGAGAAGGCGCCACTGCTTTGAGTCCAGCACTGGAGAGGGACGGCCACTACCGGGCAGACAGACCTCGGGACGGTGGCTGGCCTCAAGGGTGCCATGGCGTCCTAACCGCACGCCTGTCCCGCAGGACAGCCCTACCTTCATCTGGACAGCGGCAGACCCAAGGAGAAGCAAGGAGTCCCCATCCCAGACATCCATCTGCAGCGTCTGCGCGGCCAGGTAGCGGAGGAACCAGTGCCGCTCGCCGGGCTTCAGGAAGGCGGCGTCTACCATGTACCTCAGCTGGAGGCCGGGGGAGCCTGCAGGAGGCCCCGCAGGAGCCGAGAGTAAGCGGAGGCATTTGTCATCTTTACACGTGGAAGAGATTTCTGCCCTGCTCATGATTACTAATTTCTGCTTCTGTCACAGCCACAGTTAAGAAACATATTAATCAAAATCATCATAAAATATCCAAATTAACAAAACCAAGAGTCATATTCAGAAGACTACATTTCTTTCCCATATATATTATAAACTCCTCCCAAAATAAGATTTATGGCTCTTGGCAAGTCCTAGCAAAACAGTCTGTGATGGATGAGGGGACAATGCCCCAGCGAGGCCCTGGGAGTTTATTATTCTAGGCACACGGGTCTCAGGGAAAATGCAGCCTGCAGCTGCTGTAACTCTGAGGTGCTCACACACGGAGGCAGGGCTCCAGCTGAGATGGCTCAGCGCACACTGCACAGGGGGCCAGGGTCGCCCCTCAGCCGGCCCTGGATCCCACAGGCTCCTCTCCCTGGGGCCTGCCCCTGGCCACCGGGCTGACTAGGAGACAGGAACTGGCCCACCACCCCGCCGTCACCTTCCTGAAGTGGCTTTATTATGAATTCTAAATTGATGAAAATGCCTTTGAAATCATCATTAACGTGTAGGGAACAGCAGTGCTGGGAAACATATTCTAAACATTATTCTCCCCCTTTCTATCCATAGTGGGAAGAGTGTTGTGGAGGCCCAGTGGGGAGGGAGCAAGTGTCCCTCGGCACCTCCAGCTCTAGCCCAGACCAGGCTGCGGTTTGTGTGGGGTTTGCCCACAGGTGCCCCCCACCCACCCAGCTCCAGCCACCCACGGGATGACCACAGACTGACGTCCCATCTGCTTTCCTTGAGGCCAAGGGACAGGGCTTTCAGTGAAAGGGGCGAGTGCAGTGGGTGGGGACAAGGGCACAGCCTGAGATGCAGGCCACAACGGGGGCTGCGAGGGGCCCGTCACAGGGCGGGAAGGCAGGTGAGGAATCAGAGCAAAGACCAAAGAGGAGCTGGCAAGAAACGTCACACAATGATGGGCAAGTCCCCAGTGTGGCATCCCAGAAGGGACCAGAACAACCTCTGGGCCTGGCCCCACAGCTAGCTCTGAGGACTCCGGCAGGGAGTAAGGGCTCAGGACCCACCCTGCACAGACAGGCGCTCCACGGCACTTCTCGGAGGAACAGAGGGCCCTGGAACAAAGGCCCTGGGTGCCCAATGTGGCCTGTCAGGGAGGCAGCGGCAGGGGCCATCCCCACACCAGCCAGACTCCTGCAGGCTGACTGCCAATGACAGCCTGGGCCTCTCCGCACTCCACCTCAGCTTCTTGTACACCACAGACCCAGCCAAAGCTTTTGGGGCACCCCGAGAGCTCCCCTCCCAGTCAGCATCATAACGGCTACATCCCACAATGCCAGGTCTCCCACACCACCACCAAGTCAATTCCTCAACAAACAATGACTGTGCCCCACCATGCCAGCCCTGCAGGGGGTACCGTGTTCCAGTATCAGAACAAAATCTAGGTGACCTCAGGTTTAGTGATGACTTTTTAGATACATTGCCAGGGACAGTCCAGGAGAGAAGTAACAGATGAGCTGGTCTGCACTACAGTTGAAAACTCCTGCCTGCCAAACACCGTGCTGAGGGGAGGGCACGGACCAGCCCCAGGCTGGAGGGAGGCAAGCAAAGCCCACCTCTGGTACAGAACTCGCATCCAAAATACTAAAAAAACCCGTTCAAGTGTCTGTCCGAACAGACACCTCGTGAAAGAAGACAGAGATGGTGACGGGCCCACGTGACAAGGTGTGCAGCATCACGGCCCTTAGAGGACAGCACACAGCCCACGGAGACACCACCCGCAGATCCCAACACTGGCCACCCGGGGCTGGGTGGGGTGCGCAGAGGGAGGAGCTCGCTGTCACCACCGCAGGGATGCAAACAGCACCACCCTGTTAGACTCTCCCGAAACTCAACGCACCGTTACCGTAAGATCCAGGAATCACACCCCTCGGTAATTTACCCCACCAGGGTGAAAATTTATGACCATCCTGCACACAGAAGTTCATAATGGCTTTATTTAAAATTGCCAAAACTGGAATCAAGATGCCCCTCAATAAGTGAAGAGATAAAGGGTGGCACATCCATTCAGCTGAGTAGTATTCAGCAATAAAGAAAAAGAGCCATCAAGATACAGACCGGCAGGGGGAAACGTAAACGCCCATTGCTGAGGGCAGGAAGCCATTCTGCACATGCTCAGTGTTCTCAGGGGCAGCGGGGGAGGGAATGGACAGGCAGAGCAGCGAGCTGGCTCTGTAGCAACAACCCTGTCAGGGTGGATACGTGACATTATGCATTTCCCAAAGTCACAACCATATAGACCCAAGAGCGAACCTTTTGGAGACAGAGTCTCACTTGGTCACCCTGGGTAGACAACCTCAAACTCCTGGGTTCAAGTGATCCTCATGCCGCAGGCTCGAGCCGGGACTACAGGTGCCCATTACAACGCTCAGCTAATTTTTCTATTTTTAATAGAGATGAAGTCTTGCTCTTGCTTAGGGCTGGTCTCAAACTCCTGAGCTCAAGGGATCCACCCTCCTAAAGTGCTGGGATTACAGGTGTGAGTCACCGCACTTGGCCACAGAGTGAACCTTACCTTAAACTATGAGATTTAGTTAATGATACTGTATCCCTACTGGTTCATCAGCTGTGACCAATATGCCACACCAATCAAAATTTTAGTAACAGGGGACACATACAGATCTATAGGAACGCCCTCCACTATCTACTCAATTTCTCTGCAAACCTAAAACTACTCTAACAAAGTAAAATCCATTAATATTTTTTACATCATAGGACCACACATTCGAGATGGGTGTGCTTTACTCTGTGTGTGCTATATTTCAAAAATAATAAAACATATCTTTCAGGTGAGGCCCAAGACAGACTCGGTGCTGACCAGGGTCACGTCGAGAGCCCCAAGGAACCCTGCCCGCCCAAGGAGGAGGAGGACCCCAGGCTGGGAAGGAAGCCTGGTCTGCCCAGGCAGAGATCCAGCCATGTAATAAATTGAAATGAACTTTTGTATTTTTTCTGACTCTAACTCAAGTATTCTAGACCTTGAATTTTAATCCAAAATGACAAGAAAATTTTATTTTGGAGTTTTATTTCTTTGAACTTCAACTTGCAAGGAAATTTAATTTGGGGACTTTAATTTCTCTCTGGGAAATTTATCACGGAAAGGGGTTTGGATTCAAGGCAGGAGCTCGTCTAAATGGTTGGCCCTTTGTCCTGATGCCCTCAACGCTATCGTTTCACCTCCCTGCGGACCCTCTGATGAGCTTCACTGGACAGAAAGGCAGGATAGAGCCTGGAATGGGAGGCAGAACAGGGCATAAGTTTTCACAAGGACTCACGCTCACTCTGGGGACAGAAGCCAAACGTCCCCCAAAGGCTCCCCAGGGTGGACGAAGGAAAGGTGCTTCTCTGAGAAGAAGGGACCCCAGGAAGGCAGCAGGCTGCCTCCTCCCCCAGGGACAAGGGCCACACCTCTGCTTGGCTATAAACTTAATAGTTAGGGCCAGTAAGTTGAGGAAACGTCGCAGAGTGCGTCCGGCCCCAGCCCTCTGCCTCCAGACCCAGGGCCTCTTCACCTCTCCCTGCCCAGGCACCAGCCTTTCAGGGCAAGAGAGGCTCACGCTCTTCTCAGATCTGCCCGCAGGAGAGGGTGCAAGAGTCCAAGACATGCTTCCCGGCACTCAGGGGCAAGAGCTCACTCTAGCGCACAAGCCTGCCACTGTCCCACCCACCTGTGCATCAAAGTCCACCGCTTCAGGGGTGGGAGCCCACAGGCATAGCTCCCTCTGGCACTAACTCCGTTCCCACAACCATGTCATTGTAAAGAAAGACACTATAAAGAAAAGGGATTTTGCTCTACACTACCCGACCCGCTCCACTGAATCCAACCTCAGGGAAGACACAGCCCCCTGTCGTACCTGCTGCCCTCACACCCAGCAGCTCAGCTCGTCCTGTCCAGACTTTGTCTTCTAAACACTGACACTCAGGTTACGTTTCCCTCCTTCCTCCCTTTTTGGATTTATGCTGTTCTTCCTCCCACAATGCTTTTTTGCTATTGGTAATGGGGATTTTGTTTTTGAGACAGTCTCACTCTTGTCATGCTGGGTACGGTGCTATGGCATAAGCCCAGCTCACAGAAACCTCAAACTCTTGGGCTCAAGCAATCCTCCTGCCTCGGCCTCCCGAGTAGCTGGGACTAGCAGTGCACACATCGCACCCAGCCAATTTCTCTATTTTTGGTAGAGACAAGCTCTCGCTCTCGCTCTGGTTGCCTTGAACTCCTGAGCCACCACACCCGGCCTTGTTGCCAAACTTCTTCAGTTGAACAATTAAAATGTTGTCTTAAGGGACACTTTCTTCTTGCCCCACATGGGCATTAAAAATTGTAAGTTTTCCTGAATTGCTAGTTTACTTGGATCTCCTAAGTTTTGATAGCCAAAATTATTTTGTCATTCAGTTTTTAAACAGTCATTTCCATTTTGATTTCTTCACTGACTCATGGAATACTCGGAAGAATATTTCACAATTCCAGAAAAACAGCAGTGTGGAGTGTTTCTGGGGAAGAAAGTGACTGATTTCTGACCTGGTGGCATTATGGCCAGAGGATTCCATAAAATTAGATTTGATGTGATGCTCTTGGCATAGGGTGATACCTGCCTGGTGAGCTTAAAATACACATATGAACACCTAGTTGAAAACAATGCATATCCTCTAAACTTGGTATACAACTGAGAGATCACCTTCTTCAATTTCATTTAGAAATAGCCTCATTAATTTGTTTCTGCTTGATCTATCAATTTGCAGAAATTGATCATCTCCCATGATTGTGGGTTTATCGATATCTCCTTATAAGTCCACCAAGTTTTCCTTTATATTTAGAGGCCATGGATGTTAGTTCACTGATTCAGAATCATTTGTTTTCCAAGCGAATTACTTTCGTGGTTGTTATTTAATGGCACTGATTTGTCTTTTGTCCCTTTGTCTCATACTAATGTGGAACTATTAACATTTTCATTTGGGGTCAGTATTTTAATATAAATTTCCTCCCCCCCCCCTTCACTTTCCACCTCAAGGGGCAGTGGGGGCTCAGACCGCAGCTCAGTCCCTCACGAGCTAAGATAAAAAAACTGACCATCAATAAAAATAAAAACATGTCAAGTATGTTTCTATACGGTGTAGTTTAAATCCATTAGTCTACAATGAGACGAGGAGAAAAGAGGTCACTGATCCCCAGCCATGAACTCAGGACACGAGGAAACCGTCAGTAATCTGGGAATCAGCAGAGCGAGGGGGTGAATCAGCATTTTCTGCCTTTCCTAGATGGGCTGAGCCTCAAGGCGGCTGACGAGGGGGGTTCTGGTTGTGGAGGCATCCGGCTGACAAAGGAAGGCGTCCTATCACCATTGTGCCACCTTGAATGAAACAGTAGATCCCTAAAGCAACGGCCGTCACTAAGAAGCCACCAGACCTTGTGGTGCAGCCAGCAGGTGGCATCACCTCGCAGCCACAGAAAAATTCTTGCCAAAACCAAAAAGACAGGCACCTGGCCACATAGCTAGGGCCAAATCCCAAATGCAGGAAAAGGGAAGCTGGAGAAACACTTTCAACAGTATCCAGCGTTCAAACCAAAGTCCAGACCACTGGACAGAAGCTCTGCAGGCCAACAAGGCTTCTTCAAACAAATTAAAAAGAAAACAGAGAGACTCGGGATGGGCAGCAGCTATAGAGAGGGACTCAGAGACCTAAAACTCCACTGCCCCATTACCACGTACAGGCCTTATTTTTGAACAAACTGTTAAAAAAAAATTTATGAAGTTACTGGAAAACTTTTAACATTGGCTAGATATTTGATGACATTAAGAATTATCAGTTTCTAGCTAGGCTAATATTACTCAGTTTATGTTTATCATTAAAGGATCCTTAGTTTTCTAGACATACAGAGAAAATGTCTACAGATGACCCTACAAAGGTCTAGGTTTCTGGGAGGAAACCAGGATTTGGACGGCATGCTTGGAGCTTCAGTTCCTCATACCAGTCTCTCAAATCCTGTGGATGTTTCCAACCTTTCAACAATAAAATTCATCATTCACGCACATGCTCAGCACAGGGTGTCCCCTGGCCATATGTGTGAGGACTCACCAGTGTCAAAGGAGCCATCTTTGTCGATGGGGACGAGGATATGGGACAGGGAGCCAGAGCCGGTGTCCCGAGGCTCGCCCAGCTTGACCAGCTGCAGCCGTGGTGTTGTCACGGGTGGGAAGCGATAGAACTGGAAGGTGAAATACACAGTCTTTGGCCATGCCGTTCCTCGGGGGTCCTGGGCCACTCTGAATCCAACAACAGCTCTGAATTAATCAAGTCCTCACAACAGGAACGTGGGGTTTCCAACATGCTCATGTGGGGGACAGTCCAGACCTTGCAGTCACCCCTGTGAACACCTTTGCTGTGGCTTAAGTAACATTAATACCTACGAACTGGGCTACACACTGTCCACATTTTAATTAAGGACCACAGAAGATGGCTCCACAGCATCGAGAATGGCTTTGGGTGGGCCCTAGCCAGAATAAAACAAAAGCAGATGGCACCCCTCAATCTAGTAAGGCCTGAGACAGAGAAATGCCAGGGCAGGACCACATGGAAAGATTCTCTTCAACCCAGAAAATGTGACAGCCAGACAAAGTAGCACAGACAGAATACTCGAGAATTTACCTGCTAAAGGCAAGAAACTGGAGCACTATTTCGTTGCTTTGCAGACAGTCTGATTCCTCCTTTTGAGGGTTAAAGGTCACGGGATCTGCAGGGCTCACGGCTTCCACAGGTTGCTTGCTGGCATCCAGAATCTCAGGGAAGCCAGAAGACTGCAGGAGCGCCATGGAGGCTCTTGAGAGCTGACTCCCCAAACTGGAAGAGAGAGGCCCCTGAGCCACCCCCGGGAGCAGGTGGCAGAGACGGCGGGGCCTGCCAGGGCACCTCTCTGTGGAAAGTCTGCTGTCGGGGGCCACATAGCCCTATACGCACAGCACGTGCCTGGGCGGCCCCTCCCAGCCCCACACCTCACCTCCGGGTCTGGGCGCCCACGACAATAGGGGCGTGCAGAGGTGTGAAAGGCAGCTCCTGTAACTGCTCAGCCACGGATGTTTCCAGGACCACAGAAGGCTGGCTCAGGTCGGCTTCCAGGTGAGACACCCCGCCCTCCAAGGGAAATTCCTGCCGCACAAAATGAGGGCCTCCAGGTGAGGCCAAGGGGGATCCTGGCCGGTTACAACCCGCAGTGCTCATGTCTAAGGGGACTCATCAATGAACTGCTTTAGCAGATAAGAATCCAGGAGGCTCCGTTACATTTTAAGTTCAGGTAAACAAAGGGTAACTTCAGCATAAGTAGGTTCCATGCAATATTTGGGACATATTTATGTCAAAACATGACTTATTTATCTGACATTCAGGCGTAGGGTGTCCTACACTTGGTGTGGCAACCTGGTTTGTGAGTCTCCAGGCAGTGAGGAAGGAATCACCAGCTTTATGAGCAGCTCAGAACCACGGGGGTATGGCTGATGTCTGAGATGGAAAATTACTATCAAAACGTATCTACAGAACAGAAAGACGAAATGCCTAACACTCAGAGATAAACGGTGGGACGGGCTCTGGGGAGTGTGTCTGGACACAGTGCAGTCACTCACTTCACTCCACCATCCAGTCCCCCCACGGCAGAACACGGATGTCTCAGGGAGACCTTGTCTGGGACTCAGGCCGCTCTCTCAGCCCTGATGCCCCAGCTTTCTGTTCTGGTTTAAAGGGATAGCACATGACTGAAGGTCACCCCTACACCACGTCTCAGGGACCAGTGATAAAAAGGCCGACCAGCTCTTCACAAACACGGGAGCCCCAGATGTGTTTTAGAATAAGGCGCGACAGATCCATGGTGCTGTGAGTGTTTTCGGTAGGTAGGGCCAGGCGTGGTGGCTCAGGCCTATAATCCCAGAACTTTGGGAGGCTGAGGCAGAAGGATCACTTGAGGAGTTCGAGACCAGGCTGGGCAACTTAGAGAGATCTTGTCTCTATAAAAACTCTAAAAATTAGCCAGGCATGGTGATACACGCCTGTAATCTCAGCTACTTGGGAGGTTGAGGTGGGAGGGTCACTTGCACTCAGGAGTTGGAGGTTACAGTGAGTTGTGACTGCACCACTGCACTCCAGCCAGGGCAACGCAGTGAGACTCTGACTCAAACTTCTTTTATTTTAAAAAAAAAATTTTTTTTTAATAAAAAAGAGTGAGTTTTTTTTAATAAAAAAAAGAAAAGAAACTATTTTGCTACGACATATTTCCAGTTAAGAATGCAGATGCAGTTTGCAGGGAAACGGCCAGCTTTTGAGACAAAACTCCACGTGAACTCCCCATGGTCAGCGGCTACACAGGCCTATTTTAGCCGTTAGCTCAACCTGCATCCAGGATGGGTCCCCGCTCAGCCTCCTTCAGCTGCTGCCGCAGGGCATGAGGCTGGGGGCTTGCCTTGGGCCCTCTTTACAGCTCTGCACAGCCTTTTAGGTACACAGGCCGCAAGGTGGCTGAACTGGGTTTTTTCAGGTAGACCAAAATCTCTGTAGCAAGAGAACCCACAGGCCATTGTCTTCCCTGGTCTCCAAGACAGATGGACAGCAACCACCTGAGGCCTCACAGTCAGTGGCTCCTTGCCCCACGCCACAGCCCACATCACAGGGAACCCACGGAAGGCACCACGGAGGGCAACACCTGACTTCCGCAGAAGTCAGGAGTTGCTGAGCCATTCCAGGAGGAAGGAGAGACAGGAGGCGGGCGGGCGGCGTGGAGTACTTACCACCTGGGCCATGGGGCGCGGAGAGCCTTCTGGCGACGGGGAGGCGGGTCTGGCTGGGCAGCTCTGAGCCGGAGACAGTGGGGAAGCGGCCAGCTGGGAAAGTGACAGCTGGAAGGGAAGAGCCCAGTGAGACGTCAGCCCAGGCAGACCCCCAGCACGCTGGCCACAGGGGAGGGACGCCCCGGTCAGCAGCCACTGTGGAACCAAGAACCACTTCTGAGTTTCCTTCAGTGTGGAGAGGTGATTCCGTGATCTCTCCCAGATCACATTATTTGAATAAAAATATTACCAGTAAGGAAGAGCAGGGAGGGGTACCCAGGTTTTAGGAGCCACATGTGGTGACGGCATGATGTGCCCAGAATTACCTATCAGGTCCTCCTCCCAAAACTGCAATCCAGCCATTACAGCTAACTTCAGTTTACATGATAGAGAAGAAAGAACAGAAATGGCACCATGAGAACCCAGCAGGCAAAGCCAGAGCTGGCCCGGTATTTTACTCAAAAAGAAAAAATAAAAAGTGGAAGGAAGTTGTGGGATTCTTAGTGATCAAACCCATTGTGAACAGATCGGATCTTGTTTGAACCTTTGAACAACAGTTCAAAGTATCCCAGTTACAAAGTATCTCTGGGAACAATGGGATTGAATGTGTTGGGAGAATCCAACATTAAGAAATGATTAGTTGGGCTGTGCCTGTAGCTCAGTGGGTAGGGGGCCAGCCCCATATACCCAGGGTGCCCCAGCCAAACTGCAACAAAAAAATAGCCAGGTGTTGTGACAGGTGCCCATAGGCCCAGCTACTCGGGAGGCTGAGACAAGAGAATCGCCTAAGCCCAGGAGTTGGAGGTTGCTGTGAGCTGTGACACCACGGCACTCTACTGAGGGCAACAAAGTCAGACTCTGTCTCTACAAAAAAAAAAAAAAAAAAAATTATTAGTTGAGTTTATGCAGAGAAATACTCTTACTTTTCTAAGATTACAGAATTAGTTAAGGGATGAAATATATCTGTAAATTAGTTACTTTAAAATATTTAACACAAATGCACTAAGAACACACATGGCAAAATGTTCCAATTTCCTGAATCTTTGGAATTTTTCTTAATAAAAATGTGGAAAGTCTAAAAAATAAAAAGCAAGCCCAAAGAAAAACAAGTATAAAGGCAGAAAGATCCTCGTCCATGGGGATGGGATGGCCTTTGGCTCCAGCCGCCTGTGTGCCCATCAAATCTACCACCCTGGGAGGCAGTGACCATGCTGGGGCCAGTACAGGGGATGGACACTGACTCCTCCACCCACCACTGTGTGACCTCAGGCAGGTAAGCTAACCTCTCTCTGCCTGTTTCCTCACCTGTAAAATAGGGATAATGACAGTACCTAATCACAGGACAATTGAGAGGACATGTGACGAGGGCTTGGGACCTGGTACACCGTGAGCCTTCTACAAGTGATACACACATTTGCTCAACCCCAACCCAGCTCCCACACATGACTTCAGTTTATACAGAACACAGAAGGATGTGTGTCCTTCCCGATGTGGAAGGTGGAGGCCCACACAGTCCTGGAGAGACATCAAACCTGGACTTGCTTCCCAATGCACTGGCCACTCGGGACAGTCACCTGCAGCAATGAGAGATGGCCCACAGGAAGCACTGGACAGAGAAGGACATGGTGCAGGAAGAGGTGCTGGGGGAGGTGGGGGTGCTGGAGTCACAGATGGGGGTACTGAGGGGCGAATGGGGGTGATGGAGTCAGAGATGTGGGTGCTGAGGGCTGAATGGGGTGCTGAAGTCAGAGATGGGAGTGCTGAGGGGTAGGTGGGTGTTAGAGTCACAGATGGGGGTGCTGAGGGGTGGGTGGGATGCTGCAGTCACAGATGGGAGTGCTGAGGGGTAGAGGGGTGTTAGAGTCACAGATGGGGGTGCTTAGGGGTGAATGGGGGTGCTGGAGTCATAGATGGGGGTTCTGAGGGGTGGAGGGGTATTAGAGTCACAGATGGGGGTTCTGAGGGGTGGGTGGGATGCTAGAGTCACAGATGGGGGTGCCAAGTGGTATATGGGAAAATAGGGTTACTTGCATCACAGATGGGGGTGCTGGAGTCACAGATTGGGGTTCTGAGAGGTGGATGGGGGAGCTAGAGTCACAGGGGCCCAGGCAGCATCTTCAGGGAGAAAAGATCTTGCCTCAGACCTACAAGGTGTCATGAACCCTCAGGGTAAAGTGGAAACTGGCAAGGATGCCAGCCTGGCCAGCAGGGAAACCTCTGGGTAAATGAACACTCACTCATGATCCAGTTTCCAAGCTGTGTGTTACACATTAAAGCTGCTTCCTGGAGACAGCCTTGGATACTGAATTATTGAACTTTTCTAGAAAGTCAATTTCCAGGTTGATGTTGGCAGACAGAGCCACCAGGAAGAACAAGCCCACTCTGACCTTGCTCATGATCACACAGCTAGAGCTAGATGGGGCCACAGGTGAGCAGCTCAGGATTCCAGACAGTGGCCAAGCAGAGCACGCCAGCCGCAGGCAAGCCAGGGTCTTTCTCAGGAAATTCTGACTCCACAGAGATTATTCACTATCTGACATGCAATTGTCAATGTGCTGTGTCTTTCAGCTGCGGCCCTCCCTCCACCAGCACCAGCAGCCGGCCCAGGGGCCCAGCTGTGCCGGGCAGCAGGTTGCTCTGGGTGCTGGTGGCTGCCAGGTGCCCTCTCCTGGCAGAATCTGAGAGAGCAAAGGGGTGAGGTGCACACCTTGGGATCTCTCAGGGAAAAGCAAAGGGTATTCAGTCCTGAAAGAGCCTCAACTCTCAGAAAAATTTGCCAGGGAGGTGTTGAAACACACCCTAGACAGCAACCTGAGGGCCGTCAGCCATGGCAGACAGCTGCCCCACAGCTGGCACTGAATCAGTGGGGCGGGGACAGGCTGTGCGGACGAGACAGGGAACTAACAGGCCCGGCCACACAGAAGCAAAGAGAGCAACTGTCCTTAAAGATGTAAATGGTACTTTCCTGCACCCAGAACTTTCGAGCACTGTACTTTAGAATTACCAAGTAGGCCCTGCTCGGCCTGGACTTACCCCTGGTCCCACAGGTGAGTCCTGAGTGACAGCGAGGGCCTGGGGTGCTGATGCTGGCGGGCCTGGGAGGAAACACAGGGGGGTTGGTGGGGTCCCACTGGCCTGTGCAGGGCCTGGGAACCCCAAACACCAGTGCGATCAGGCCTCGACAGGTCTCCCCACTTGGTGTCCAGCTGAGTTGTCGGTTGTTACCACCCAGAGTGTGACAGCGACCAGGGAGCAACCCCGCACTCTGCCACCTGTGCAACCCTTGGCGTGTGTGAGTGAGATAAGCATCAGCTTCTCCCAGTCACTGGGAGGGTGGGACCGGAGCCACACCTGCTGGGGAGGGCCTGCAGTGCTCCCTCCCCACTCTGCACCACCCACTGCTTCTGGGTCCTGCAGTCTCACTAACCCAGGGCTTAATGGGATGGAAGATTTTTCAGACACTTAGACGTTCTCTAAATGCTTTTCAGTCTCTTTACCAGCTTACACTCCTCTGCCCTGGAAGAGCTGAGATCTGATGTTTGCCTGGCCTAGCAGCTCCCTAGCTCAGGCTGGCTTGCTGTTTTGTTGAATAAGAAACTCTTCTGAGCAGAAGCTGCTGGCCAGGCCTGCAGCCCATGAATGCTGCTAACTCAGCCTGTCCCCCAAGTCCTGCCTATTCTAGGTGTAGGCGTGGCAGGACTGGGAGGTCCACCAGGAAGACATGAGGCCAGTCCTTCATGTGAGCCCCCTAGAACAAGGGGCTGAGAATAGCCTTTGACCCTTGATGACAACCAATTGAGCTGACCCCTCCCACAGGCACCACCCATACTGGCCAGCCCTGCAGCAGCAGCACAGTGGCCCAAAGAGGGAACAGCCGGCTTTGTGAGCTGCTTTCATGCTCCCCACAGGCCACATGGGCACCCTGAGGCCCAGCAACCCCTGAGCTCCCAGTTCCCCCAAACCTACCAGACATAACACTACCTGTACCTGAGGCACCAACAGTCTTCTGGTCATCACAGCTCTGCCACCTGCCCCCACACTCCACAACACACCCTCCAGTCAACAGCTGGGACTGCCCCAGCCAGGCCCACACCATGCTGACGGCCTCCTACACACAGCCAGAGGCCAGGGTGTGTTGGCACAGGGTATAAGCCCTGGGCACTCTCTGTGAGGTGACCTGCCTGGCTTCCCTGAGCCCATGGCCTCAACTGCAGCCCCATGTCCACACCCTGCTGGGCCCATTACAGTCCCTTCACAGCAACTGGACTCTGTCCAGGGTAGTCGACTCCACCCCCTGCTGGACTTACAGGGAAACCAGGACCTCCTGAGAAACTGGGGCTCCCCACACAGCCCTGCCTGCCTTCTGTCACCCTCCTGCGGCCAGCCACCAGGCTGCCCCATGTGCTTAGCCCCGGCGGCCCACCCTTGGCTCTCCCTCCCTCCACTGTGGCCTCTGCTGCCAAAGTCCTTCTATGGTCCACATCTGCCAGGATGTCAAGCAAATGAATCTTTGGGAATCCCAAGTCCCCACAGCACAGGGCACAGGGCAAGCACTCAATACCTATTGATCAAATGAGCAACCCAGACATCTCGGACATCTCCAACCGGACACCACACCCCCTAGATAGAGGATGTCCAACCACTTCCTATTCTAATTTAAATTGCAACAAAACAAAAATAACAACAACAAAAAAAGGCTGTCTACCAAGAAGGAACTAAATTCCCGAAGCACACCCCAACCCCCATGCTGCTGGACCCCCTCCCAGCTGCTCCCAGAATCCATTTGACCAGAAGCTGCAGATTCTTCCCAGCTGGCAGGGGAGGTCTGACTGAGGGCTGCAGGTGGGGCAGGAGGGGTTACAGGGAAGGCAGCAGGAACCGGGCAGAGGGATGAGCCAGCCAGCTGGCTGAGGACACAGTCCACAGTCCAGCCCCCACTGGGCAGTGCCCACTCACCCACCCAGTTCCTGTGGTTCCAGGAAATTCTGAAGCCCTCTTGTAGGAGGAGCTTGCAGGTCTAGAAGTGCACTCACACTGTCCTTCAGAGAGTCTGCAAATCATCCAGCAAGCTCTCTCCTGGGAAAAACAATCTCACTACAAGCAAAATGCAGCTGAGGATTCTGCCATCCTCAGGCCAGCGCAGGGGCTCGCACCTGTAATCCCGGCACTCTGAGAGGCCGAGGAGGGAGGATTGCCTGACATCAAGAGTTCGAGACCAGCAAGACTGAGACCAGACCTCACCTCTACAAACAGTAGAAAACTTAGCCAGGTGTGGTGGCAGGCACCTGTCATCACAGGCTGCCCAGAGGCTGAGGCAGGAAGACCATTACTTGAGCCTAGGAGTTTGAGGCTGCAGTGAGCTACGATAACCTACTTTGAGACCATTTCAAAAAAAAAAAAAAAAAATAGGAAACGGTGTGCCTCCCCCAGGTTTCTTGAACACCCCCTGCAGCAGCCCCTGCCCACCCTCCTCAAAAGCCGCCTAATGGATGGAACAGGAAGGCAGAGGTAGAATTTTACTTTGTTCCACCCCAGATGGGGACTCTGAAAACCACACAGGCACATTTTGGTAATAAGGAAAAATTGCGGGAAATGGCTCCATTACTGTCAGCTAAGAGGAAGCCGGCACCGGAGCAGGCCCTTCCCCGCCCTCCGGCCGTGGGACCTGAAGGAGCAGTCAGACCGTCAGAGCACTGGAGACTTTTCACACGCACTCTACTCTCCCTGAAGTCTCAAACTTGGGTATCACGTGGTTATGTCTTATCAGGTAGTTCTTTATATCACGGCTTATTATGGAATTTTACCTTCCACAAAAGTAAAGCACCTAAAATAGTCTTTGGCAGCTGTTTAGACGACGCCCGCTGGCGAGCCCAGGACTGAGCACACGGAGAGAAAACGCACCCAAACCACAGAATGCGTCGTTCCTGATCTTGTCGTTTGAAGGTCCAATGCGGGACTCAGTGGTCGGGATGCTTCTCCAACTTCGCTGGCCGCGTCCCCCCACAGTGCCCACGGAGCCTCCAGGAGCCTCCTACAGTGTCTGATGGGGAAGCCTGACTCCTGCGAGGAGCACACCCTGGCTGAGAAGTCGCAGCACCAGCAAAGCTGAACCACGGGGCAGCACACACCCGAGCACAAGGCCACCGTGAGAACTCGGCAGCACGGGAGGGGACGCAGGCGCCAGGCCATCTGAGGCAGCACTGCTGAAAACAGCACAACTTCCCAGGTGCTCCTGGGAATGCAAACTCTTAAATAAAGCCTGGCCTGTCCTAGGGGGGGCACGAAGCAACTGGAGGGAGGAGGTCACTGATGTGTGCTGACCGGGAAGGCGGCCGAGTTAGGGAGGGAAAACGGCAAGCTCACGACCCACGTGCAGGGTGTGATCCCCTCTGTTGCACAGGCTATCAAATCAGAACGGAGTCACTGACATGACACCCTGACAAGAGGGAGCCAGGAGGCCACAAAGGAGGGGCCCCCACACACCTGTGCCTATGAGGGAACCACACAGGGGACTCCTCAGAACTGCAGGCTTCCAGATAAGCGCCCTGCACCAGCACACGTGCCTAACAGTGGCCAGCGCCACCGAACCAAGGCTGGCTTCCACAACAAACTGCTGTAACCAGTGGCCTGTTTCAGAGCAGGTCATGTGGAATTCTGCTTTGTCTTTAGAAAAAAAAAAATTTTTTTTTTGAGAGAGTCTTACAATGTCATCCTTGGTTGAGTACTGTGGGGTCACAGCTCACAGCAACCTCAGACTCATGGCCTTAAATAATTATCTTGCCTCAGCCTCCCAAGTACCTGGGACTACAGGCACCCACCACAACACCCGGCTATTTTGCTGCTGTTATTGTGGTTGTCGTTTTTTGGCAGGCCCTGGCCAGGTTTGAACCTGCCAGCCCCAGCGTAGGTGGCTGGTGCCCTAACCACTGCCCTTGCCTTTAGAGATTTCCCCTCCACCCCAACCACCTTGGACGAGCTGACGTCATACAGCACACGTAGCCCTGACGGCAATCCCTGCTATTCCCAAATGAACTCTTTGCTTTGGCCAGTCTGTTTCTGTGGCTTATTTTAGGTTGACAATGTTAAAGAGAAAGGAAATAAAAAGAGAGGGAGAGGAGGAAGGAGGGAGCTGGGGAGGGGACGCTGGTCAATTCCCTGAAGCCCATGGAACAGTATAAAACATGAAGACACTGCTAACTGAACCTTTTATAGATGTTAGTCTCCCTAAGCATGTACTCATACCTTCCTGCCTAATTTAAAATAATTTTTAGTTCAATGGTCATACAAGGTAAGATGCCTCTGGTTGAACTAGTAACATCAGTCAGCACAGAACTGAAAAACAAGTTGTCCAGCAAGCGGCCGTCCAGCTGTCACCTCCAGCTGCTTCTCCCCAAACAGGAGCCCCCTGCTCATGGGGGGGCTCTCCCCACAGGCAGGAGGCTGGGCTCCTTTGCCGGGAGGTAGAATCCACCTCTGGCCAAGCCACCAGCAAACCTAATTTCAGGCAAATAACCCAGACATTAAAAAAGAAAAGCCCAGAAACTCAGAGGCAAGCTTTTCCATGGCCACTGTGAGCAGCTCGGGGGTCGGCAGGGCCCTGGGTGTTGCCAGCACACCCTCAGCAGCACGGTCCAGACTCGGGGCAGAGAAAAATCTGTGCCAGCGGTTCCCCGACACCAGAAACGTTCCTCGCTGACTGCCCAAGACAAGGAGCAACTGGGGTTTCCCATGCAGCAGGCTCCATGGTGTGTGCAGACATGTGCAGACTCCCACTCCACACGCCGAGGCCGTCACCCATGCAACAAGCTCCATGCCGCGTGCAGACATGTGCAGACTCCCTCTCCCCAACGCCACTACTCCCACTCCACACACCGAGGCCGTCGTCCATGCAGCAGGCTCCATGCCGCGTGCAGACATGTACAGACTCCCTCTCCCCAACGCCACTACTCCCAGGCCAGCTCCACACGCTGAGGCTGTCAGCAGGTCTTGCTGCCTCCTCTGCCCTGTCAGCCCCACAGCCCTCCACCTGAGCACAGTGCGGGCCTCAGCAGCAAGCTGGCCTGCACCCTGACCCCAAGCCTGACAGGCACAGGTCCCACCTGGTCCTGACCTGCAGGAGCACAGACGCAGAGAGGGGGCACGCTCCGCTCCTCCTCCAGCACCCTCAGTCAGGCCAAGGGCAAAAGCCAGGCAGACAGTGGGACAACAGTGCTCCCATGTGGTCACCGGGCGAGAACTCCCTGGAACCTGCCCAAGCCTCCTTTCTCCACCCCCAGGGAGACCACCATGCACACAGGGTAGAGAATGGAGGCAAATGTTGTAACTCAGAAAAAAATACATATATATATATATATGTATATATATGTATTTATATATGTGTATATATATACATATATATATATAATAACTCATAATGGTGACAACATCAAAACACAGCAGAGAGGAGGAAGGAGCCCTCCACCAAGGGACGAGGCCACCGGGCTTCATCTCAGCCACACGCCAGGTGGGGACAGGGATGGGACTGGGACATGAGGCTGTGACCCGGCCAGCCCCCCTTTCACTTCCGGGTCACTTCCCCCATCAGGTTGAAAGTACTGTCAATGCAAGGGAGGCCTCGGGGTACAGGGTGGTAGCATCTGTCTCCTGACCCAGTGCTCGCTGAGTGGCCACTTGTCCCCCTCCCCGTGTACTTTTCAGTATGTGTGTTACGCTGCCATAAAAAGTAAAACTAGGAAGGAGAAAGGAAGGACAGTGTTTTACCACCTTTACCTTCTGTGCCCATGGGCTCATTTATCTGACAAATACCTTGTCAGACACCCGCACTGTGCCACAGAAAGGTACAAGGGTAAGTAAACAGCTGCACGGAAGAGGGTCAGCCAGACCTCCTCCCGCATTGGAGACAGCAGAGGCCCCTCAACACACTAGAAGCCGACAGTGTCCTTTCTAGAAAGGCAGAGGGGTCCCCGAGCAACCTCCTTTGCCGCCCATCACCCCAGCAGGAGACAGCCATGCACAGGGGGCAGCGCAGAGCCCCCAGCCCAGCCCAGAGTGCCAGCTGCCATCCTGGGCCTACACTGCCACGCCCAGGGAAGGGGAGTCGGTGGGCAGCTCACCGAGGAAAGCGCTCAGCTCTCAGATACAACGGCTTCCCTGGGGCAGAAGGCAGGGAAGGGCCAGGCCTGGGCCTCAGAGGTGGAATGTGGCCATCCTGCAGAGAGGGCTAAACAGCTGGTCCTGAAAGGGGTGGGGGGAGGGCCCTCACCTTTACAGATGCAGGGACTGAGGTTTCAGGGAGGACTGCAGGAAGGAGCTGCAGGAAGGGACACCTGAGTAATGGTGGGTGTGGGCCTCAGTACTGCATGAATTCCAACCTCGGCAGCCGAGGAGCGGGGCTGCCCTGTCGTGGCCAGACAGGCCCACGCAGCAGGGCAGGTCCAGACCGGGCACAGCCTTCCAGGGGTCACCCCTTTGTCCAAGCCTTACCCAGACCCACCCTCTGGTCAGCAGCCACAGGCACCTTCACGGCCTGCACGCTCACCTGTGCTCATCTCCTCCCCTGCCACAGCCCTTAAGGAATCACCCTGGTGCGTGGCAAGGAGAGAATGTTCCAGACATTCAGCTCAGCAGGCACCATCACTGCAAGAATCAAACTCCACGCTTACATGTTTGCAATGACCTCTTCTACAAGGCAAACAAACCAAAATTCTGACACCACTGGAACATTCAAAACCAAAATACGGGTCAGGGAAACTCCAAGGCACATTCGGTGAGGCGTGGGCGCCCCCTGGTTGCTGACGCACGCTCCTGCAGGGCAGGTGCGGAACGGACCTCCCTCCACTCCCTTGCAACTTCAGAAAAATAGAAAGGATTATTCATGACAGAGAGCCCAAGAACCTCACTTAAAGTGACAGCCACATATCATTAAGATTTCCAAAGGAACCATATACGTGGTAAAATACTGAAGTATGAAAAGTTTCCATCATAACTTAAACACTAGTGGATATTTAAGTCTCTTATATCGGGTCTTGGGAGGCAATGTCTTCAAATGCTTGAAACCTGGGCTGAAAGCAATCATATTAAAGTGACATGAATGCAGCCATAAATCCAAATTAAATAAGCCAAATGAAATCAGGTTCCAGGCATGTAGATTTTCTGGTCCCCAAACAGTAACTGAAAAATAGATTATGCGGCTATAGCACATTTGCACAACCATTCAATTCCTGATCCTTCCAGGAACCAGAACAGACCCCTCTGGGCCGAGGGTATAACAGTAAATCTTTTGGTAAAGAACTAAGAAGTACGTGCACCCACTAGCTCTGCCTCTCCAGAAGTCACACTGCTGCTGGTGTGTCCTACACACAGGAAGAGGTCCTAGAACACCCCAGCCGTTATGCAGAAAGACGCCTGTTGCAGTGGGTCACAGGAAAAATTACCAGTCCCCAAACAAGCTGCCTCTGCAGGATCCCTTCTTGGGGAGCCCTTCCCTGAATGCAGCGGCATTCACTCAAGTAGCTCTTCCCAGGCCCAGCATGCTGCCCAGAGGTCAGGATGGCTCATGGAGGACAGGCTGCTTCTCACTCATCTGTGTCCCTTTCACACAGTTGGAAGCGTGACAGGGACCTCCATGTCTACTCATTCACAATGCAGGGAAGTGGTCAAAGCTGGAACTCAATCCCACAGTCAGAGCAGCAGAATACCAGGGAAAGATCAGGACTCAGGACCGGGGACCAGGCCCCTTAATCCACGGGGCAACCAACATCTGCCAGTTTCACCCACCCTGAAACCATACTCTCTTTGTTGTTGTTGCTGTTGCAGTTTGGCCGGGACCACATTTGAACCCACCACCCTCGGTATGTGGGGCCAGCGCTCTACCCACTGAACCACAGGCGCCGCCCCATACTCTCTTTTGATGGTTTTCCTTTGGGGAATCATCCTCCCAGCCCTCGCCCACACAGTCAGAAAGAGGCCCACCCTCACCCCATCAGCCATTTGGGGTGAAAGTGAGTGACACAGCAGACCAAGGGGGTCCCAGCTCAGGCCTCCTGGAGCGACTGAGTGAGGCAAGTGCTTCCTGTTGGGATTCCTGAGCCCAAGGATGACCCCAGAGCTCCAGGGTCACAACAGGGAGAGAGGCTACCTGGAAGGAAGGAGAGCTTTAAAGGGGAGGGCACGGGGCAGACAGGCAGACGGAGTCCTCAGGACATCACCTAAGAACCACATACACGGAGGGTGGTGGGGTCAAACTCAACCCGGGACAGCTAAACAACAATGGCAACTGCAACAAAAAATAGCCGGGCATTGTGGCAGGCACCTGTAGTCCCAGCTACTTGGGAGGCTGAAGCAAGAGAATCGCTTAAGTCCAAGAGTTTGAAGTTACTGTGAGCTGTGACACAACAGCACTCTACCCAGGGTGACATAGTGAGGCTAGTCTCAAAAAAAAAAGGCTCTGAGGCAGGGGACTGGCCATAGCAGAAAGTGCCCAGCCAACCACACACCAAACGGACAGCCAGCAATGGCTCTTCACCACCTCTGCCCAGGTGGGCTTGGCACCACACACAAGGCCAGGGCTCTCCAGTGCTGCTGGTCACCCTTGCTGCCTGCAGCCAGTTATGACTCCCTTTGTCAAAGCCACACACTGAGGTCACAGACTCACAAACTCAGACTGTACTTCACGGCAAGAAGACAGTCAGCTCTGTCGCCAGTGCAGAACAGAGCCACCATCCACCACTTTCAGCACATCTTGAATTCTTGGGCCCCAGGTTTACAAGGCACCATATGACACATCCTTTCAGGCGTCAGTGACAGAACAAGCCACAGGTGCTCAGCAGGGAGCTGGGAGTAACTGCGCCCAGCCCTGAAGCACAGGTGGCCCTGTCCTGTTCACCCTCTACTAGGCACAGACCCCCGCTAACCAACCCAGGGGAGGTGAACTGCGCAGTTCCTCATAAATAGGAGGATTATCGTCCTGGACCAAGCACTTTCATGGGGAACGGACAGAAGTGATGCCGTGTGCGTGGAGATCAGCTCTCTGGAAACACTTACTTGAAGGAGACCTGGGTGGTTTCCTGGCTGGCTGTCGCTGGGCGGTGGGGCTGCTGACGTGCTCTGTGGGTGAGTCCAGGTGCTCCTCTGAGCCCAGCGAGAACTGGAAGTGGACTGTTCCCGACTCCACCTGCTTCACCTGCAACAGACCACAACAGGAGCCATGACGGCCTCTCCCTCAGAGTGATTCAAGCAGGAACGATCCCTCAGCCTTAAAACAAGGTCTCAGTGGAACAAAGATGTCTGAAGCCACCTGTTCTTAGATTAGAATCAAGCAGTTTTCAGAGCAGAAAACAACTGGCTGTGGCACCAAAACCCCAGGAGACCATCTCATCGAGAGCTCCACCCCGGTGAAGGTCACAGCAGCTCTCACGTTGTGTGGGTTGTGTTTTCTGGTCAACTTACGCAAAGCTGGCTTTCTGTACATTTGGACACCTATTTAGATCCACATGCCACCGGTAATCAGGAAACAGACCCACTCCGCTCCCCACAACACTCCCCTGCTCTGCCCTCAGCTCTTAAAGAAAATCACTCCCAAGTCACAGAATCCCAACACTCCCCACCACAGGACTAGACATTTGTTCATCCCCTATCTTTCTACGTGGAACCAGCACCTGGGGCCCCTGTGGTGTCCCAGCACCGCAGTCTGGCCTTCGTGTGAACGCCACGTAGGGGGAATCATGTGCTATGCCGCTTGGAGACTGGCGTCTCCCACTCAGCACACACGGTGAGACTCATCCAGGCTGCGGCAGGCACGGCTACGCTTCCTCCTCCTGTGACTGAGCAGCACAACCCCACACGGTGCCCCGGCTCCGTCATCCTCTCACCTTTAAAACCCTGGGTTGTTTGCAGGGTGGGAGATTATAAACAGGGGCCGCAAACGCCACTTCCTAGTGCAGGTCATCATGTCTCCCAGAGCAGGGCTGCTGGGTCACGTGACATACGCACATTTCACTTTCTAAGGCACTTCCAAACTGGGCTTTACTTCTGGACCTTCTGCTCCCTCGACCAACAGCGCTGGATCCTGACTCCCTCGGTGTTCTGTGAGTCTCTAGTGTATCCTACGATTCCTCCGACTTTATTACTCTATTTAAAAACTGTTTTGACTCTTCTAATTCCTTTACCTTTTCATATAAGTTTTAGAATCAGCTATACCTAAAAAAACAAAATCCTGCTGGGATTTTGATTGAAACTGCATCAAATCTATAAAATCTGTAGCAGACCTTCTGGGAGAACTGGCCCCTTTGTTATCTTTCGTCCTCCCCTCACAAAGATCTCGCGTCCCTCCGGTTATTTAGAGCTTCTCCGACTCCACCGAAAGGAGACCACAGTGATATCCAGCAAAAGCAAAGTTTATCACTTTCAGGTCCTGTACAAATTTTGTTAGAGTTATTTCATCTAGGGGAGGACTTTGTAAATAATATTTTTTTGTTTTCCTTTCTAGTTCTACCCCATTATATTTAAAGTATATTCCTTATAGAAAATATACAGTCGGACTGTATTTTACATTAAGCCTGACGATCCCTATCCTTAAACTGATGTGCCAGCAGCAAGGGGTTACAGCTGTAGCCCCAGCTACTAGGGAGGGTGGGGCAGGAGGCTGGCCTGAGACCCGCCTGGGCAATACAGCAAGAACCTATCTCCAAATAAATAAATAAATAAAATGGTACATTCACACTACATACATTTAATGTAATTACAGGCACACCTCAAAGACACTGCAGGTCCTGTTCCAGACCACCACGTAAAGCAAATACGGCAGAAAGCAAGACGCACAAACCTTTTGGTTTCCCGGTACATTTAAAGTTGCATATTCTTCTCAGTAAAGTATCTCAAGAATGGAAGAAAAAGTATCCAATGTACTCAGTACTATTATGAAACCAATATATAATCACCCACAATTTCATATGAAAGATAAAACACAACTATAGCCCAGGATGAAGGAGAGAAGAGAGAAAAAAAAACATATTGAGTGGGCTCGGTGCCTATAGCTCAACAGGCTAAGGCGCCAGCCACGTACACCTAAGGTGGCGGGTTCGAATCCCCAGCCCGGACCCGCCAAACAACAATGACGGCTGCAACCAAAAAAATAGCCGGGCGTTGTGGCGGGCGCCTGTGGTCCCAGCTACTTGGGGGACGGAGGCAGGAGACTCGCTTGAGCCCAGGAGTTGGAGGTTGCTGTGAGCTGTAATGCCACGGCACTCTACCCAGGGGGACAGCTTGAGGCTCCGTCTCAAAAAAAAAAAAAAACATATTGAGTGGCACCTGTGGCTCAAAGGAGTAGGGTGCTGGCCCCATATACCAGAGGTGGGGGTTCAAACCCGGCCTCTGGCCAAAAACTGCAAAAAAGAAAAAAAAAAACAAGAAGGTGGAAAGAGGAAGGGGAGGGGATGGAAGAGGGAGGTTAAATGGAAGGAGGTAATTGGTGGGACCACACCTATGGTGCATATTACAAGGGTAAATGTCAGATCTGTTAGGTGCAGAGTATAAATGTCTTAACACAATAATTAAGTAAGTGAGGTGAAGGCTGTGTTAACCATTTTGACATAAGCATTCAAAATTGTATATAAAATCAGCACTTTGTACCCCATAAATGCATTAATGTATGCAGTTATGATTTAATAAAAAAAAATTTAGAAGATTAAAAAAATAAAGTTGTGGTTCTACTACAGTCTGTAAGTGTGCGGCAGCCTCATGTCTAACAAACAACGTGTACAGCTCACTTAAAAAATACTTTATTGCCAAAACCCTAACAGTCATCGAAGCCTTCAGCGAGTTGTCATGTTTTGCTGGCAGAAAGGCGTGGCGTGATACTGATGGCTGCTGACCAGTCAGGGTGGTGGTTGCTGAGGGTCAGGATGCAACAGTCACATTAGTAAGATAACAGAGAAGCCTGAACATCAGCTGACGCTTCCTCCCACCTGGGTCTTCTCTGTAGCATGTAATGCTGTTTGATAGCATTTTACTCACAGGAGAACGTCTTTCGAAATTATTCCTCTCAACCCTGCGGCTGCTTGCTCAGCAGTTTCTGTAATATTCTAAATCCCTGTTCATTCATCAGAAGCAACTCCTCCTCCATTCAAGCTGTCGTGACATGGCAGCGGTTCAGTCACTTCTCAGGCTCCACTTCTCATTCTAGTTCTTCTGCTGTTGTCACCACGTCTGCGGTTACTTCCCTCACTGAAGTCTCGAACCCCCCACAATCACCCATGAGGTAGGACTCAACTTCTTCCAAATTCCTGCCAACGGTGCCACTTTGATCTCCTCCCATGAATCGCAAATGTCCTTAATGGCATCTGAAAGCCTTTCCAGAGGTTGTCAACCGACTTTGCCCAAATCCATCAGAGAAATCGCTCTCTATGGCAGTGATCATCTTAAAAAACTCATTAAATAGGGAAACCTGAAAGCTGAAATTCCCCCTTGGCCCATGGGAAGGGAGGTGTGTTAACAGGCGTGAAAACACACACACATTTTCATCAGAGCTCTGGGATGACCAGCAGAGTCGTCAATGAGCAATATTATTTTGAAAGGAACCTTTTTTTCTCAGTGGTAGGTCTCAACAGTGGGCTTAAAAAAATCCAGTAAAGATGCTGCACAGAGATGTGCAGTCACCAGGCTTTGCTGTTCCGCATGTGAGAACACAGGCAGAGTAGTTTTAGCACAAGTCTTGGGAGCCATAGACTCTCTGAATAGTCAAAGAGCACTGGGTTCAAACTTGAACTCACCAGATGCATTAGGCCCTAACGAGAGCCCATCTGACCTTTGAAGCTTTGCAGCCAGGCACCGGCTTCTGCTCTCTAGCTATGAAAGTCCCAGATGGCACCTTCTTCTAACAGAAGACTGTTTGTCTACCTTGGAACTCTGCGGCCTCCTCCGTCAGAGACCTTAGCCAGGTTTAGCTTCCTAATCAGCTTGCTGCTGCACCGTGTGCTTTTATGCTTCAGAAAGAGCTTCTTAGTTAAACCTCATGAACCAACCTCCGCTAGCTTCAGACTTCTCCTCTGTAGCTTCCTCACCTCTCTCAGCCTTCGTAGGACTGCGAAGAGTTAGGGCCTTACACTGGATTAGGCTTTGGTTTAAGGAATGTCGTGGCTGTTTTGATCTTTTATCCAGACCACTAAGCCTCTCTCTGTATCAGCAATAAGGCTGTTCCACCTTCTTCTGCATTCAGGGGAAAGCACTTTCAATATCTTTCAAGAACTTTTCCTTGGATTTCACAACTTGGCTGACTGGTTGGCTTTCAGCCTGCCTTGGCTTTCAACAGTGCCTTCCTCACCAAATTTAATCATTTCCAGCTTTTGATTTAAAGTGAGAGACGTGCACCTGTTGCTTTCACTTGAACACTCAGAGGCTGTTGTAGGTTAACTGGCCTGATACGGGAACGGGCGAGCACAGGAGAGAGAGAGAGACAGGGAGCGCCGACCGGCAGAGCAGTCTCAGAAGAGCCAACACTGACTAAGTTCACCGCCTTACACAGGCAGAGCTCCTGTGCCCGAAGCAGTTATAACAGAAACATCGAAAGTCACTGATCACAGGTCACCGAAACAGATATAATAATAATGAAAATCTTCGAGTCCTGCAGGAACTGCCAAAACGTGACACGGGGTCGCGAGTGAGGACGTGCTGCTGAGAAACTGGTGCCAAGTTTGTGGGTTCAGGGCTGCCGCAGACCTTCAGTTTCACAGAACACGCTACCTGTGTACAGCATGAACCACGAGCAATCAGACAAGGCCAGCTGGACCTGTCCCTCCCGGCTTTGGTTCTGTTTCCCTTTCCTGCCTTCTTTTGAATTGTTTCATTTTATCTATAAATTATGTCTTTGCATCTTATTTTTAGTGACTACTCTTAGGACTTAAAATATAAACCCCTAACTTCTCACAGTCTACCTGGAATCAGCATCTCATCACTTCATGCGAAATGCAGAAACCCTGTCCCCCACTCCCCGGTCCTGCCACCTGTCACCTGCCACCTGCCTGGTAGAGCCTTCCCATCCGGCACATTCACAAACCACAGGCATCTCATCGGACACTCTGAGCACTTTTGTTTCAACCATTCAACATATTCTGAAGAGCATAAGAACAGAGAATGTTCTACCATATTCATAATTTACACTGTTCTTTCTTCATTCCTGATGTTCCCAGTTTCTATCTCGTCTCATTTCTCTTCTGTCTGAATAAATTCTTTCAGGAATTCTTTTAAAAAATATCTACTGGTGATGAATTCTCTTCATTTTAGTTTGTCTGAGGATATCCTTATTCCACGCCTTTGTTCCTATGTGATTTTTGCTGGATCTAGAATTCTGGGTCCCAGAGTCTTTCTGTATGCTGTTTTAAAATGTTCCGTTTTCCTTCTGGCCGCCACAGCTTCTCATGAAGAATCTACAATCATTTGAATGACTGCTTCTCTGTAAGAAATAACGCACCATTTTTCTGTAGCTGTTTGTGAAGTTTTTTTTTTCCTTTACTTTTAGTTTTCAGCCATCTGCTTATGATATGTCTGGGGGTGAATTTCTTTGCATTTACCTCTAGAGTTCATGGAACTGAACAGACAGGTTAATATCTTTTGCCAAATTGGGGGAGTTTTCAGCTATTATTTCTCCAAATGTTTTTTCTGCACCATTCTGTTTCTTCTACCGGGACTCTGATGACCCAGGTGTCCCTTCGGCACGGTCCTACAGTACAGAGCTTTGTCCACTGTCTGCCCATCATTTTTCTTTCTGTTGTTTTGGGGTGAATTTCTATTGATTTATCTTCAAGTTCACTGACTCTTTCATCATTTTATTCTGCTTTTAAGCTGTCTAGCAATTTTTTATTTTGGTTATTTTATTTTTCAGTTCTAAAATTTTCATTTGACGCCTTTTTTTTTTAACTTCTGTCTCTTTACTGAGACGTTCCGGAGTGTTTATCCTTATTTAACTGCAGCATGTTTATAGTGGCTGCTTTAAATCCTTTGTCTGATGATTCCAACATTTATGTCATCTCCGGGTTGGTGTTTCTCCCAAACAACCTGAGACTTTCCAGGTTCTTTGTGTGACAACTACTTTTAGATTGTATCATGGACATTCTGAGCACTCTCACTTAAATCCCACCAAGACTCTTCTACCCAGGCAGGAATCAACACAGACGGTCAGGACTCGGCTCCTGAGCAGCCTCTGGGGGTGGGGGGGGCTGTGGTGTGGATGTCAGCACCCCCTGAAGCCGAGCGGGGTGCTCCCCACAGGGGGCGCTCTGGGACAGGGCCGTCCAGCCTCTTCCACGATCAGTACTCCAAAGCCTTCAGCTCACCATTCAGAGTCAGGCCCTCAGCCCAGGGCTCTGTCAACCATGCCGCAGTGCCGCTTCCAAGCCCCTCCCTCGGTGATTTCTCTAGTCCCTCCCAGTCCCCTGGAGACCCCTTCTCAGTCCTCCAATCAGCCCCACTGTGCTCTGGCATCTGTGCCTGAATCCGAGGCCAGGTGGTGGAGGACAGGGCAGGAGTGTACACAAGACCTCGAGTTCTCATCCATCACCAGGGGACATCAGTGCGTAATGTCTAAAACGGATAAACTAGGAAACGAGTGGACGCACAGTATTTTAAGAACAAAGGTCACCCGGAGTCACAGGGGTTCACAGAGTTAACAGCGGCTGCCTTTGGAGACCACAATTTTTTGTTAAAAGAGACTATTATTTTTCCTCAAGGGAAAAAGACAGAAGTTAAAAAAGAGAACACAATTGTTACATACTACTTTATTTTACAGTAAATAACAAATAGTCACACCAACATAAATCATAAAATCTAGCCAAATCTTAGGAGATTTTTATAGTATTCATATTTTTCTTTAATTGACAACTGCCATTTCTATTCAACTATCAGTCCATGGGCTCAGGGACATCTGCCTCGAAGCCAATGTAGGTGCTCAAAGCAAATCTGCAGAATGACTGACTGAGTGGGACACACGGCAGGGATGAGGCTCGCCTGGGCCTCCAACCAGCCAGCCCCGGAGGGTCCAGCACCCTCAGACAGGAGAAGCAGAACCACAGAGGCTTCCACAGGGCAGGAGAGGAGCTGAGTCAGGGCAGGGCCAGCTCCTTGTTCAGACCATTCTGTCTCTTGGAAGAGTGACCCTCAACCAGCAGCGCTTTTGCCCCTGGGAAACCTGCACCAATGCCTGCGGGTATTTTGAACTATCACAATTGAGGGTGCTACTGGCACCTGGTGAACAGGGCCAGGGACGCTGCTGGACATCCCCCAGGGCACAGGATGGACGCCACACCAAGGATTGTCTGGTCCAAAATGTCAACAGTGCTGAGGTTCAAAAATTCTGATTTAGAAGAAGTGTTCCAGGTTAAAAAAAAAAAAAAAAAAAAAGGCAACATCTGATACACTGGTGTGTTGAGGCAGGCAGCCCCTCAAACCTCTCCTGCCCGGTACAGTTTACTCTTAAAAAGTGAAGGCAGAGCTGTGGCGTGATGAGCCTGACAGCAAGTAGGGCAAACGCTTATTCAGATCCCACCCAGGTGGAGTGGGACTGGGTGACAGCAGCGAGGAGAGTGGCAGGGCCTCGGGGTCTCTAATGCGAGCTTTCTATTAAGGGCTCAAATGAGACCACATGGGGGTGCAGCGAAACCCAGCCCCCAACGAGAGACGCTCTTTATGATAAGAAAAGCTGCACCGTCAGCTGTTCCCTCACTCAGGTCCCCGCAGCATTATCCACACCGTAAATAACAGCACAGAACACGATCATTTGTCATGAGAGTCAGCACACGGTGGCACACTGAAATAACAGGCACAGTCCCTTTACCTTAGACAAATGCGGCAGCTGAGGACTCAGAGGCCCCATTTGCACTGCTGAACTGGGTGTGTTTCAGGAACGTGAGCAGAAGCAGCCAGCAGAACCCACTCCAGACACCGGCACGGCAGGGCTTCACATCGCGTCTGTGGTGCCTGGTCACTACCAGTAATTCCCCAAGGCCACCAGTGGGCCAGGGGAGCCAGGGAACAAGACCCCTCCACACACTTAACCCTTCCCTGCTTTTGTTTGCTTTCTGTATTGGGGTCAAAGATGTTTCATTTCAGAATGGTTTTCCAAACACCTGAAAATCTCTACCATGGATCTACCCCTCCATACATAGCCAAGGTCCAGCAGGAGTTAGTGACAACTCACACAGACGAGGTGGGGCTGGAAGCCAGACCACCCAGGTCCACCCAGAGCACTCGGGCTGCTAGAAAACCTTCTGCCAAGGGCCACCCGAGGCCATCCTCAGGGCACCGACAACAGCACAGAAGTGGGTCTCGTGGCAACACGTACAGATGCCAGTCACAGGCCACCGAGTCTCCTTGGGATGAAGGCCTGCACAGACACGCTGTGAGACCCACAACATAGCCGGCCTTGGGCACTGACACAGGACCAAGCATGTCTCAGAGGTCATATTCATCTTTTTAAGGGCATATCCGTGACATGAAAAAATTCTGTTCTACAACATCTGTAAATACATTGTCAACTCCCGCTTTTGAAAATGAATGAGCTTATTAGAAGTTCATCAGAGGATTACACATAAGAGATGCTTAATAATTTACCTCTTCGGAGCTCATGATGGCTGAGGGTACCTTATAGACCAGGCAGTGCGAGGGGTTGGGCTGGACCCCACCCTGAAGAGGCAAGGTCACCCTCCCAGAACTGGCTTCCGGCAAGGGGTTCCAAACAGCCCAACGAACCACGAACATACATGCCAAGCTGGACAGGGAGGTGACCGAGGCTGCCTGGATTAAAACAAAACACACAGGGGCATGAGCCATCCTGAAAGTCACGTGGGTGGGAAGTCAACAGGATTCACAAGTGAAGTTTAACCAAGTTCAGTGGAGACAGGGAGGGACAGGGAGCACCAGGTGTATTTTACAAAAGTAGAAACTGAGGCGGAAGGAGGTCCTGGCATCCTCAGGACAACAAACAGGGTACAAACAGCCTGGTGCTGTGAGACCCCGTCCACCTCACAGGGACCCCTCCCTACCCACCTGACCCTCCTTTTCTGGCACAAGGCAGTAACAGCTTCCACCTTAAAGATCAATGCCCTTTTTATGACTCCTGGTTCCCATGAGGCTCTTCCTGGAGGTCTGTGATCACTCCGTCCCTTGCCAACACCTGCTCAAATCCACCAGGAAACACCAGGAAGGGCAGCACTCTGAACCCACGGCAGACACACATGCACATCTGACTCGGGGTGCTGGGCACACCCCCCAGGGAGGTTCAGGACAGCTGCGTCTCAGCTGAGGTTTCTGGCAATGAGCAAGTGAGCGTCACCATGCGGCAGACTCTGAGGACGCCTCACCCCCATCTCTGCACCTCGCTGGGACTCTGACTGGGGCAGACTTAGTGTGTGCACTGGAGAGGTAGGTCAGCTCGCTGCTGCCGGGAGACTGAAACCCAGACTGGCAGGGGCAGCTCATTCCCCTCCTGTCTCAGCAACTGCGTCCCTTCCTAAGTCCCCGAGAGACCTGTCCAGGAACAGTGGCAGGCCAAGCACTGTGGAAGATGCCCTCAGCCTTTCTGTAGGTTTTAATTTACTTCTTAAAAAATACAGCAGCACACACTGTCCCCCATCCACACTTTTGCTTTCCATAGTTTCAGTTCCCAGAGGTCAACCTTGACCTGAAAATAGTAAATGAAAAATTCAAGAACAAACTACTCATAAGTTTTATTTTATTTTTATTTTAACTTTCTAAAGATAGGGCCTTGCTTTGTCATTGAGGCTAAAGTACAGTGGCCCAATCCTGGCTCACTGCAGCCTCGAACTCCTGGACTCAAGAGATCCTCCAGCCTCAGCTTCTCAAGTAGATAGGACTATAGCACACACCACTAGGCCTGGCTAATCTTTTTTAAATTTTTCATAGAAACAGGATCTCACTATATTTGCTCAGGCTGGTCTTGAGCTCCTGACCTCAAATGATCCTCCTGCCTTGGCCTTTCAAAGTGCTAGGATAATAGGTGTGAGCCACAGAACCCAGCCCATAAATTTTAAACTGTGCACCATTCTGAGTAGGGTGATTCAATCTAGCACCATCCCACTCCCTCCTGCCTGGGACATGAATCACCTGTAGTCCAGCACAGCCACACTGCAGACGTATACTCCCCGTGACAGCGAGGACAGAAGGAGAGACCACAGTGACGTAACTTTTAGTACAGTTTATTACTGTAATTGTTCTATCTTATTATTGGTTATTACTATTACTCTCTTACTGTGCCTGATTGATAAGTTAAACTTTATCATAGGTAGGTACCTACAAGAAAAACAGAGCACATGCAGTAAAGTCTGCTACTATCCTCAGTTCCAGGCACCCATCAAGGGTCTCGAAACATACCCCTGTGGATAAAGGGGGACAACTCTATTGACTTTTTAATAAAAAACTGAATCTTAAGAATAGCACGCCTTGCATACATGCACTTAAGTCAGCGATTCTCAACTTGTGGATCGCGACCCTTTCCCCTTTCACAGAGGGTGCCTAAGACCATCGGAAAACACATATTTCTGATGGTCTAGGAACTGAGACACCGCTTCCCCACAACATGAGGAACTGTATTAAAGGGTCGCAGCATTAGGAAGGTTGAGAACCACTAACTTAAGTGTTGATCAATCGGTTCAATCAGAGAGACAAAGTGAGACTGTCTCAAAAAAAAAATGGGGGCAGCACCCATAGCTCAGTGCTTAGGGCACGGGCCACATACACTGAGGCTGGCAGGTTCAAACCCAACCCGGCCCTGCTAAACAACGACAACTGCAACAAAAAATAGCCATGTGTTGTGGTGGACACCTGTAGTCCCAGCTACTTGGAAGGCTGACACAAGAGAATTGCTTAAGCCCAGGAGTTTGAGGTTGCTGTGAACTGTGACACCACAGCACTCTACCCAGGGTGACATAGTAAAACTCTATCTCAAAAAAAAAAGAAAAGAAAAAGGAAAATTTTTATGAATGAATTCTATTAGGATACGTGAAATCTATTGGCCTATTGTTACTACCAGGTAGCAGAATGTACTTATGATACTGTGAAATTTATATTTGCTTTTCTTCTGGTTTCCTGGTATACAATCTTAACATCCTTGGAATCTCCAAAGTAATGTCTTTTGTATGCTAATGAGATGGCCAGAGGCTGGCAGCCCCTGAGTAGCTTCAGGATGTGCCTGGTCACAGGAAAGACCACGGCAGGCTCAGGAGGTTGGAATATTCAGCCTTACTCCCCAACCTCCAGGGAGGGGCAAGGGGCTGAAGGTTAAGTTGACCGCCAATGGCCAGTCATTAGTAATCAAGTTCCCATAAAACCCCAGAAAGACTGGGCTCAGAGCGTTTCTGGATAGACAGTTGAGCACATGGAGGTTCCTGGAGAGTGATGCGCCCAGAAAGGACAGAGACTCTGTGTGTCCCTTCCCACCTTCGCCCCGTCCATCTCTTCATCTGCATCCTCTGGAATGTCCTTTATGATAAACCAGTAGATGTGAGTAAAGTGTTCCCAGTGAGTTCTGTGAGCCACTCTAGAAACTAGCCCAACTAAACCAGTAGATGTGAGTAAAGTGTTCCCAGTGAGTTCTGTAAGCCACTCTAGAAACTAGCCCAACCCAAAACAGGGGTTACGGGAACCCCAATTATAGCCAGTTGGTCAGAGCCCAGGCCAGCAGCCTAGCATAGGGGTGGGGGCTCTGATGCCACCACCGGGTAGATCAGAACTGAACGGGAGGACACTCAGCTGGTGTCTGCTACAGAAGTGGCTGAGCGTTTGATCCTGGGGAACACCCCACACGTCTGGTGTCAGAAACGTGCTGGGAGGGTCCGGGGGGGGGAACCAAATCTGTTTCTTCCTGTATCCTTAGTACTATTGCCATAAAGATGGGAATGATAACACAGCCGTCATGGGGAAGGAGTATTTCTAGAACCATATCCCATACTTGTCACTGCCTGTAATGGAGAAAACGTGCACGCCAACCTCATCTGCCCTCAGCACACAGGCCCGTCCCCAGAGGAGACCTGAATACAAAACGGCTCTCACGTTGCTGTCCCCTCCAGAAGGACCGTTGAACACGTACTCCAACTGGAAGACGATTGCAAACGCTGGGTGACTGACCATCTCAGGGAGTCGGAGGCGGCTTCTCAAGACTAGAGCTTGGTTTCCAGAGCTGCATCAGAAACACAAAGGAAGGACATGTTAGGGCACTGGCTCCCACCCTGCCAGGCGTCCACCTCTACCACTCCATCAACAGTGGGGAGGCAGCCAGGGCCCCAAGACCCAGGGCGAGTGAGTTCACCCATGTGTGGCTGCAAGCTCCTCTGTGCAACTTGCTTCTCGGTAGTTTCAGTGTCACAATCAGCACCTTTTCTGAACTGCCAGAGCTTGTGTGCAGGACAGATGGTGAGGTCACATCACCAGCAAGTACCACAAGGAGATAAAGGACTGGCCTGTTGGGGAGGACAGCTGGCCTCTGCCCAGCCTCACAGGAGAGCAGAGGCAGGACAGCCCACAGAGACGTCTGTGGCATCTGACTGGGGAAGCGCTGAACTGAGCAAACAGCAGGACGGCTGCACCTGCCCTGGTTCCCTGTCACATGGAAACCTTCCAGGGCACATCTGGGAGACAAAATCCAGGGTCTCCACAGACCCTGGCAGCCACAGCTGGAAGCGTCCACAATGCTAACTCCAAAATTGTCACAACACAGCCAGATGCAGCATCTCACACTTATAATACCAGCACCCTGAGAGGCCAAGGCAAGAGGATAGCTTGAGGCCAGGAGTTCAAGGCCAGCCTGGGCAACATAGTGAGACACCATCTCTACAAAAAATAAGGAAAATTAGCCAATGGCGATGGGATGTGCCTACAGTGCCAGCTACTCGGGAGGCTGAGGGCAGGTGGAGTTCGAGGCTGCCATGAGCTGTGATCACGCCACTGCACTCCAGCCTGGGTGACAGAATAAGACCCTATCTCAAAAGAAAACCGTCACAGCACAAAAACACGATTTTTCTAAACTGACACCTCCAAGGCTTGTTTCTAATGTACAACTCAGCAGGAGAGAGAAAGGCAACAAGGAAGTGCCACTCGGGGTGAGCCCCAGGGACACGCCGGCAGCCTCATTTCACTATGCCGCCTCGTACATCCCCCCAGCCCTCAGGACCCTGGGAAATACCTGCTCTTTGAAGAGGAGACCACTTTCCTGCTGAAGCTGGCTGAGCGCGTCAAGGCCACGTCCATCTCAGGCACCAGCACGACCACCTGCGGCCTCTGCACAAAGCCCAGGCCGTTGTGCACGCCTACGTGCAGGCGCCGCTCCAGGATCTCCAGCGGGCCGCGCGTCTGGGAGAAGCACAGGCAGACGGGTGAGCCGGGCACAGAGGGAAGAGGGGTCGTGACAAGAGTCCCAGGGAAAACGAGCGGAGAGAAGAGACCCTGGAGAGGCTGCAGCATTTCCAGCTCAGGTGGTGCCTGGTTAGGACGAGTCCAAGCCGAGGACAGACACGGACCCAATCCTAAGTGCTGGCCCTGGGGCAGCTCTAGTTCCCACATTCCCACCTGAGCGTGACCTCCTCAGTGCAAAGCGCCGCCACCCAGTTCTCCAGGGCTGAGCTGACAGCACTCAAGTTGCAGCCAACTGGTCACCACAGGCCTCAGTTCCTTCAGTGAGGCTTGGCCCCCCGGCTGGGAGAGCCACCAATGGAGATGCGGCCAGAGGCAGGGCATGTCCACCTCCACCTCTCTCTACCCAGAGACCTGAGGCTCAGGCAGAAGGGGACATGCTTACGCAGTTAAGTCACAAACCATAAAAACGAAATCTGCCCCAAAGTGAACACTGGATATTAAAGTGTTTCATCTTAACTAAAAATGTGAAGATACTCTGACAAACGGCCAAGGGTGCTCCCCCAGCTTATCAGCGTTTATTGAATCATGTGATCTTTGCAAGACGAGCTCTGAATTTTCACATCTTCTTCACTGTCCATTGATAAAGCTGAACAGACCTAAATGCAGCCATTAGTCTTTGGATAATGAAAATGAAATTACGGGACCACTGGGTGTCTGCCAGTTGGATGGGAACCAAATACAAAGTAAAAGTACATTAAAAAAGGGATTTTATAGAATTTATAAAATTCAACAATGAAACTCTGAGAACATCTGTACCTTCACGTAATCCTCTGAAAGATAAGAAAACGGCAGGAACAACGCCAAGGAAACATGTTGCTACTTCAGTCCCGTCCTGGGCTTGCCTTTCTATTTCATGGAAGACCAAATAACATGGAACTACATTTCCAAGAATGAGTAGAGAGCAAGAAAGCCAGCTTGTGCCTCTATATTCAGAGTGTGCCCAAAAAATGTGTACACATTTTAAGCCAGGGAAAAACTATTAAAACTGTAACACTGAAGTTTGAGTTCTGCAATTACAAGAGATGCTTAAACACGACTTGTACTCATTGTGTTACTGGTACATACTGAGTTACAGTTCTAATAGTTTCCCTTTGCTTAAGTGTGCATACATTTTCTTGGCACCCTCTGTCTATGTAAGTAACAACTTGATAATGTCAAAGCTGGACTGGAGACCAACTGACTGAGTCACTCATTCCCCAACTAAATATCACTGCAAGACTATACGCCAAAGAGGAAGGCCAGGTGCTCTCAGACAGGGCTGAGCACCCAGGAGGGCCACACCGGGCAACAGGCTGACTGGTGGTGAGAGAGTGGGATGCCAGCCCTCACGATGGTCAGGGTGTCCTGCCCAGAGCAGAAGCCTGAGAGTGAGCACGGAGATAGGGGGAGAATACCAGGACAGCAAGCCACACACGGAGGCAGAGAGCGGGGCCCATGGCCACACAGGGAAGCTTCTGCCACCAGGACAAGTAGGGCCTGTGGCTGCAGCAGGCCCCGGGCGTTGTGCTGAGCGAGGCCAGGAGGCTGCAGGAGCCAAACCACACATATCCTGCTCGCGAGGACAAGGTGTCTAGTTGGCAATCCACAAGCAAGAAAAAGCCAAGAGCAGATTTTAAACAGAAGGAAAATGGCTGCATCACTGTTTCTACAAGACCTCTTTGACTACTGAGTGAAAAACAGTAATGCTCTCTGGGACTCACAAGCCAACGTAGCAGGCTGAGTCTCCTCAGAGAACTTCCTTCCCCAAGTACTTACAACAAAAATCACAAAAGCAGCAAAAAAAAGCATCCACGCAGCCACCCACTGAGGAAGAGAGCACAGCACAACCCACGGGCCTTCCGACCCAGGTGCTCAGCAGGGATGGGCAGGCCCTGCGCCCAGCGCTGCCTCCTCCCCCGAGCCACTGCTGAGTCGGCAAAATCCTGGGAATACCACAAAAGCCTGTGTGGGGGTGACTCCTCTGTGGCTCCAGGTAACCCCTCTCTGAAACCCCACCCTCTACCCTGGAACCCAGACTCCCCTACTGGTCTGACTCTGGACATGGCCAGGGATTGGTTTAGCCAATGGGACAGCAGCAAATTTAATGCAGACAGAGGCTTGGAAACATGTGCACACTTCCAAGTCCTTTTGTGAGATCCTCCACCTCTATGAGAACAAGCCCAGACTGGACGAGCCCACATGTGGCCAAACCATCCCATCCACCCCGGGCCAGCCGGCCCCCACTGACGGCCAGCTAACCACACACATGGGAGAATTTCCCAGGAAAGTCCCTGGCTCATCCTGCTTGAGGATCTACTAAGGAAGAGCAGAATACACCACAAGGACATTCACAGCAGTGTCATAACAGCCCCAGTTGAAAACTGCCCAGATATCCATCCACGACAGAATGGATAAATAAATCACAGGCACTCACGTGCCAGAGACTGGACACCAAGGACAGCAAGGACAGCAAGGAGAGCTACCACAACAGCCAGAGCGAGCCTTCCAGGAGCACAGGGCTGAGCAAAAGAAACAAAACAAAACACACACAAAAAGGAAAGATTTTGTCTAAATAAAGGCGGAGCGCAGGCAAGGCCGCGTTATTTAGAGATGCACCAGGGAAAGCCAGGACAGAGAGCAGAGACGGGAGCAGCATAGAGGCCTGAGAGCAGCAGCTCCGCCAGCTCGGGGCTCCTTCCCCAGGGTTCCGGGTCACCCCACGTGGCTGCGCTCTCCTGCTCCACAGGTGAGACTCAGGATGAGGAGCGGGATCCAGGGAAAGCCAGGACAGAGAGCAGAGACGGGAGCAGCATAGAGGCCTGAGAACGGCAGCTCCGCTGGCTCGGGGCTCCTTCCCCAGGGTTCCGGGTCACCCCACGTGGCTGCGCTCTCCTGCTCCACAGGTGAGACTCAGGATGAGGAGCGGGATGTGAACAGGATACTGAGTGAAGCAAGACCACTCCACGGCAGTTTCTCCAGCATCTGCTGGCAAATCTCCTCCTGTTTCTAAAGTCAAAGGTGACGGCTCTCCCTTGCCCTACAAGGGGGAATGAGGAGCAGTTTGCCCACAGGCATCTGGTGGCCCCTTCTTTTAGAGCTGGGAGAGCCCCTGGGGCTGCCCCTTTCTCTCCCCTGGGAGGCAGCACAGTGGAAACCGCCTGGGGAACATCCCACCCAGCTCCCCACTGTTGGGAACGGAAATGCCAGGGCCAGGCAGGCCATGCTCCAGCAGCACTGGTGACCGTCCATCAGGCCCAATTTATCCAGACAAAGGGAAACAAAGAAGTCCCCCAAACCCAGGCAGGTTTTTCCAAGGAGCTTCTGGCACATAAAGAAGCTTCTACACAAAACACCCAAGGGAACGCTCACTGTCAGAGGCACTAAGAACTCCAGAGGCAATGTCCTTGGACTTGGCGTTCTACAGCCCAGGCCAGCCACAGGATGGGAGTGGAGGGTCCTCAGCATCTGTGTGCATATAGAGCACCAGGCACCAGGACTGGGCCTCCCAGGGCTGCCTGGAAAGCTGCAGCCTGGTGGGCGGGTAAATCCCCCAGCTGCCCTGCCAGGGCACTCGGACAAATCCACATATCAGAGAGCAACAGAGAGGAGCAGCGACACATTGCCCAGTAGGCTCTGGGACATGAGGCAGGGATGTGCTCACCCCTGAAGGCAGAGCCCACAGTGAAGCCAGGGAGCCGGGATGGGTGGAATGACCCGGCCTTCTAGTCGAACGACCTCGAAATAAGCCAAGATCCTCTAAATGCCCTTTGTAGATCTATCTTATGGGTTGCCCTACATTCATCGCATGACTTAATTTACTTTTAAATGAGTCTGTTTCATGATCTACCAAAATCAATGTTAATTAATATCTCAGGCTGGCAGCACCTTCATCCTCACCCAAGTTAAAACAACAGCTGGAGATTCTGCAGGGGGGCTTGGCTGCCACAGGAAATGGGTCCTCTAAGACCCACTGTAAATATCACTTCAGAGTCAGAAAGAGTGTCCCCAGCCCAAAAAAGAGAGGAAAGACAGAAGCTTGTCACCAGCGGCCACACAGCCCACCCCAGTGGCAGCAGGTGCCAGCATCCGCCAGCATCCTGCCCCACCCGCCCAGCCCTGCTGGGCACATCTCTACCCTTCGAGTTAAGCTCCATGATGTGAGACACTACCTCCTGGAAGTGGTCGCTGACAATGAGCTCTAGAAGTTCCTCCTCAAATTTCTCAAGGGAAGGGTACAGGGTGAAGAATAAATTGTCCAAGTACCATGTGACAGGCTTCTGAAGGCGAGGCTTCCGGAGGGCGTCACCTGAAACAGTGAGAGGGCTCCTGTAAGATTCTCTTTGGAGGCTCAGCACCTGTGGCTCAAGTGGCTAAGGCGCCAGCCACATACACCTAAGGTGGCGGGTTCGAATCCAGCCCAGGCCCGCCAAACAACAATGATGGCTGCAACAAAAAAATAGCCGGGCATTGTGGCGGGTGCCTGTGGTCCCAGCAACTTGGGAGGCAGAGGCAGGAGACTCGTTTGAGCCCAGGAGTTGGAGGTTGCTGTGAGCTGTGATGCTAAGCACTCTACCCAGGGGAATAGCTTGAGGCTCTGTCTCAAACAAACAAAAAAAAAGATTCTCCTTGGAAATGAAACTATCAGAAGCACCCAAGGGCCCTGGCCCATCCGGGTCACAGGTGGTGGGACCTTCAGGAGGAAGAACATGTGAGCATCCCGGGCCCTGGAGTCCAGCACCTCAGCCCCAGGCCTGGACGCAGTGACTGGGGAGCAGAGCGTCCCTCTGAACACTGAGGGCCATCAGAGGGGAAGTGGGTCACACACACGGGACGCTTTCCCGCAGGAGCATGGGTTTGGGCTGAATTGAAGCAGAACCTTTCAAGTGCTTCACCCATCAGTGTCATTTTCTCCCCAAATGCATCTCTGTGAGCAGGGCCTACGACTGTCCCCTTTGTACAAAGAAACACCAGGGCTTGGAGAGGTGACAAAGCTCACCCAGCTCACAGCACGGCCAACAGAGCAGCAGGCCTCCAATGTCACCACCGGGCGTCATCTACTGTCTCGTTACAGGTGGCCCTAAACAATGGGGGCTGGGGTGCCCCATCGGGGTTATGGACATATAACTTGACTCCCCCAAACTTAACTACTATTAGCCTCCCACTGAAAGGAAGCCTTCCTGGTAACCAATAGTTGACACGTACCCTCTGTGTTACACGTTCTATGCTGTATTCTTCAATAAAGTGAGAAAAGGAAATGTTATTAAGAAACTCATAAGAAAGAGAAAATTCATCAAGTGGAAGCAGGTCATCATTAAGGTCTTCACCCTCGTCATCGCCTCCTGGAGTGGCTGAGCAGGAGGGGGAGGGGGGGCTTGCTATCTCAGGGTGGCAGAGGCGGGAGAAATCCACATGCAAGTGGACCCCGCAGTTCAAACCTGTGTTGTCCAAGTGCCGGTCAGATCACCCATTCACCCAAGCAACCAACGGCAGCAATCTACTGCCCCAAACCTGGCCTTGGCAGAACTGACTTCCCGGCAGAGCGGACATAGGGCCCCTTAGGTTCTGTAATCGGGTCTAGCTTTTCTTTATCTTTTGCCAAGTCTTTGGTTAGGAACGCAAGTCCCTGCAATGGCCTGGCTCCTCTGGGAGCACCCATTCTGCAAACATACACTGTATTCTGGGACTCCCACAACTGCACTACACAGAAAACAAGGGCTGCCAACAAACCCCTTCCCACCGCCACCCCATGGGCCCCTGAGATGCCCACCTGCTGAGGTGTCCAGTTCACCAGAACACACCTCACAGGGCAAGGAGAACATTGTAACAACAAACCAAGTTTGGGAATGACTGAGGCAGAAACACAAACAGGTTTGAGCAGCCAGGTGTATTCTAAAACACCTCTGACTGCCTTTGGAGACTGGCGAGACTTGAGGTCAGTCCTTACTTAAATCGCTCAAGAAAGATCCAGCACACCATCTCCCGAGAGCTTGATCCCTCAGCACCCCAGCCTGGGCCTGCCACATGGAGTAGCTACTCAATAAACATTTGTGGGATAAATCAGTGAGTCAATGAATGAAATAATAAACATATAAAGGTATAAACCAAACTGGTCGCGGGGTTTTCTCTGGGGAGTAAGATGGGAAGGGAAAACTTCCCATTTTTACGGAATTTAATGAACAAACACTAACTTTGTGATTTCAGGAGTGTTTTAGCATTGTAGGACAGCCAAGAGTCCAGCTGCTCCCATGTGGTCCGGCTCCATGCTGTCGCAGAGCACCCCAGGTCAGGGAGGGAGCATCTGAGCATCTCGGGAGCCTGCAGAAACAAACCCCGCAGCAGGCAAAGGTATTACGCTTTGGGCTGCCGAGGCCTGACCCCGCTTCTTAAAATGCAGAATTTGGGGCCCCACCCCCACAAATTCTGATCTGGCAGGTCAGGACTAGGGTCTGGAGAGTAGCATTTTTAACACACTCCTCTGGCAATCCTTATACGGGAAGCCCAAACACCCAGCTCTGGGGACACCAACTTGGAGGAGGCCCCCACCAGGCAGACAAGTCAACAGTCTAGACAAGGCTTCCAAGTTCAGATTTGACAGAGCAGGGACCCCAGGCCCGGAGAGGCTCTAGTCGGCCTTTTCCTGTGGGCAGGAGCCAGGGTGCAAGCTATGGCCCGTGAGCATAGCGGCCACTCGGTAATAGCACACCAGCACGTAGAGACCGCGTGCCCCAACAAAGGGACCGTGGGGGTTGGGGGACGGCCAGGCTGGGAAGGGAGGCAGGGCAGGTGAACAGGTTGGTGTAAGCATGCCCAAAGCCAAGATGAAGAGGGGCGCGCCACCAGAGGGTCTGCAGGCAGAGGAGGAAAGGTGACGAGGGTGGTGTTTGGAGAGAGTTGTCCCAGCAGGAGGAGAGGTGCAGGGACGTGTGTGGCGGTGGGAGTGAGGCCTCACACACAGCCATTCCCAGTGACCCACCTGACGAGGACATGTTCCGATTAGGGAGACCCTCAGCCAGCATCCGCTTTCCCAGGACCACCACACAGTCAGCAAGCACAGAGAAAGCTGGAAAGAGGTGCTGCGAACAGAGGCAGGAGCCTGGCTGGCGAGGAAGGACCTGGTACAGCAGGCAGGGCCCAGCCTGACACTCGAGATATACATGGAGTTGGGGAACAGAGGGCAGTGAGCCTGGACAGACAAGATGCCAGCACAGAGGGGTCGGTGATCCACCACCGGGAGCCCACTGGTACTGCCAGGTCCATGCAAGCCAAGTTCAGCTCCACCCCATGGCCACGCACCCATAGGGCACAGCGTGCTGCAAGCCACCTCACTAGCCCTCTATCCAGACTTCCTGCAGCAGCAGCCAGGACACAGCCCGTGGTACCCACAAGCCACCACCATTGTCCCCAGACAGCCCACAGCTCTTGGGAGCCTCCTGAGACCGGATGCTATCCAATCACCCGACAACACAGGCACAAGAGAGCCCTCCGCGGTATCTCCCACGGCCTCCACTTCCCAGAACCCACCAGGGCACAGCTCACAGTCTACTCCCAGGGTGGGAAAGCAGGCGAGTGCCCTGTTTCACACAGCCGCCTGGGGCCTCAGAGTGCTGAGAGGAGAGGACGGGGCCAGGACCCTGAGCACCCATGTGGAACCCTCACTCGGGGAATCAACTCAGTCCTGGCGTTGGCCTGTGACCTGATGGAAAATGTGTTCCACCCTTATTATCAACATCTGTATAACCAATAGGTTGTCCCTGGGGCCTCTCTGTATTATTTATCACAACCACATATCACCACTACACAGCTGCGATACAATTTTCAATTCAAAATGAGCCAATCCTCCCATAATGTGGCTGTTTACAAACAAACTATCCAAGTCCCAAGACAGCATCAAAATCAAATCAAACCCTCTGAAACCAGACACATGAACACTGCCCAACCAAGCACTGGCCCCTTTAGGGCTACGAGTCTTATCTAGCAAAGAAACCCTCCTCAAAAGTGAGTTCTAAGAGACCAAAGTCATCAGCAGAGTCTGTAACAGAGACGGTGACGCCCGTCAGAAAGGAGGCTCAGACTGGAGGTCAGGCTTTCACGTAAGAGAAAAGCCAAGCAAAACGGGATTCTTCCCTACACAGCCCCCAGGAGAGCTGCTAAAACCACACGGAGATAGAGCCCTTGCCTATCACATAAATTTCAATTTTTGAAAATAATCAAGCCACTGCCCACCCCGTCCACAGCAGCATCATTCACAGCAGTCAAATGCTGGAAACACCACAGCGTCTGTTGCCAAGTGAACGGATAAGTAAACTGGTCTGTCCATGCCAAGGAGCATGACTGAGCCTGAAAGCGGAAGGGGACTCTGACGCACTGCCACAGGGACAGGCAGGACACCTGGAGGTGCGCTGAGCCACCACACGAGGCCAAAGACACCCTGACTTCACTGAGGTCCCCAGAGGAGTCAAATCATAGCACAACGGGTAGCATGGTGGGTGACAGGACAGGGCGGGAACAGAGAGGCAGCATCTAATGGGGCCAGAGCTTCAGTCTGGGGAGCAGAGACGGTGGTGATGGGGCCAGAGCTTCAGTCTGGGGAGCAGAGATCAGGTTCTAGAGACGATGGTGGTGATGGGGCCAGAGCTTCAGTCTGGGGAACAGAGACAATGGTGGTGATGGAGCCAGAGCTTCAGTCTGGGGAACAGACAGGCTCTGGAGACGATGGTGGTGATGGTTGCACAACAATGTGAATGTACCTAATGCCTCTGAACTAAGATCTTAAAAGTGACTGAGATGGTGAATTTTACGTTATGTGTATTCGACCTCAATCAAAAAATAATAACCAAGTCATTGCTGACGTGACACCGTGCAGCAGAGAGCTGGAAGCAGCCGTCTTCCAGCTATGGTCATCAAGAATGAACTACGTGTCTTAGAAAAGAGGTACTGATCTGAGGGGACTAGATGGCCACTGCCGCCCTCCCTGCCCCCACACCATCCTGCTGGGCTGTGCTGCCCAGCTGTGGACACATCTGGAGGAGCCCAGTTTCTCTGAGGTTTGAGCGTGAATGACCACAGTCTCACAAAGTGGCCAGAATCAAAGAAACCGTTACCTGTGTCTCCGTGAGCTGGAAGCAGGCCAGGAACGTGCTGCAGGCCGGACACCAAGAGGTTCTCGGGAAGAAGGTGGAAGGCGGGCTCCAGGGCCGGGTGCGGTTTCAGGGTGTACTGCAGACTGCAGTTCTCAATGAGGGTCATGTGTCTGTTTTCTAGGGGAGAGAACACAACATGACCACTGAAACTTCCCATCAGACCAGCCAAGAAACAGAGCCTTAGAAACAGCCAGAAAAAGGACTTTTCCAGGGAGAGAGGGGAATTCCTCTGTGAATTCCACCTGTTAATCCCTAACAACACACCCGGGCAAAACTGCAATGAAAGAGATGCTTGTCCCAGATGATCAAAAATTGCATTACAACAAAGACATTTATATCAGAATGTTTATTGCAGCCCAATTCATAATTGCCAGGTCATGGAAGAAGCCCAAGTGCCCATCGATCCAC